CTAAGACCTAAAGGTCTGATCCACAAGGCAGTGGAACACCGTAAGGAGATGCAGTTCCATGGTAGCTGGTGATCAACGATTGGTTCATACGTCATCTCTTCCTTCAGGATACTGGAGCCCATGTACACCAACCAACCAACCCAGTCAAAGCGCCAGACATTCGGTTTTCGTCCTATCAATTTCGTAAACAATAACCCCGCCATGAGAAAGCAGTGAGTAGGACTTCCCTGGTAGAGGCTATATACACAAAGCCTATTGTTCGCTAACATCTATTCTAAATCACAATAAGGGAATTTTTCAAATCGAAAATGATCAGTGTTTTCAATGAACAATATCCTTTTTCTAATGTTCCACAGTGTAAAACAGATTTATTAACTCGCACACACATATATACACAAAGTAATAAACTTACCAAGCAGTAAGAATTTCAGGATCTTGACCAAGATGATGTGTATAATTACGCCATATACGAATGTAACCATCATCTGTTGCAGTTAACAATAAACTTTCCTCTTCATCTGCATTTATAAATTCAATATCAGTGACATATCCAACACGTGAATATCTAAAACAATTAAGCATAGTAGGTATAAAATATATGACGAATATAATTTACAATTCAGATGGATCTCCTCTTTTGGTTCTTTGAATGAAATAGTCTAATTGAGAAGTATTTATTCTTCTTTCTAAACAATATTTTCACAATTTAATTCATGTAGAAGTGAATTATCAGTTATTTCTTAATCTCTGAATCAATCTATACTGGCAATCCTGTTTGTAATTAGTTTAATTCGTAAATGTAGTTGTCTTTGTATTCTTGTTAACTAGTTAAGTTGATTGATCTTCGATTACGTGATTAACTAACCGGTTTTTCTGTATTAAACCTGATATGTTGGATCACGTTTTTGAAAATGCTTAAGCATTTCTTAGGATTATTAAGTTCCGAGATCTCGACTTCTTCACAGTCGAATTCATGTTGTGATTATACATGTTGACTAGTATTATATAGTGATAACATAAAGTGTCATTTGACTTCTACTTTGTGCTCGTTCTTGAACAACAATCAAAGCTCTACACAGTTTAACCAGCTGGTGACTTTACAACCTTAAGAATTGTACATTAGAATTATTCTACTGTAGACAGATCAGTTGTTTGCGACCAAAAGCATAGAGAGAGAGAGAGAGAAAGAGTATAGGTCAATCGTAAATGACTAAATAACACGTTGGGACAAAACACTTCAGTTGCAGATATTAAATCAATGGATGAGTAAAACATCTGTACTGTTCACTCATCGTCTAAGTAGCAAGCAATTCTATCTTGTCAAAAGTATCTTATTCAATTGGTTGTACACACAACAACACTTAACCACCTTTTACATTTCGACTAATTAACAATTGATAACACCGGGTGGACCTCACATGAGCAAAGCATATTTTATGACTAAATAGAAAGAGTAGGAAATATTACAAGTCATATATATATCTATGTAACTTCGCATCTGTTTGTTTACAACATCAACAACTAAACACCCTTGAGTTCCAAATATAACACAAAACATTTGTAAACAAATTCATTTCAAATGTATCACTTATATAAGTGAAATTTAATTGATGTTGGTGACTTTCTGGTTTAGGAACTAATTGAGTTGTTCACAAAAGTTTCGGAGTCAAAGTGTTCCAACATCATGGAATGAGTCGATCATCGACCCTATCTATAAAAAGGGTTCACGTCACCTAAACAACAACTAACGGAAGATAAGTCTACTTTCGATTACGTCTAAACAATTGGCTTCCGAGAAAAATTGACTCATGAGGAGCAGGCTGGTTTTCGTTGGATAGGACTGTTCTCTGGGATTGTCTATTGAAGAAGGGTGTGCCTGAGAAGTTCATCAACATTCTAAAAGTCATATATACAAACAACTCAGGCAGAGTGAGGGCATACAACCACCTCTCTCCATTGATCAATTCAAGCAGTGGTGTTAGATAGGGTTGTCCAATCTCACCACTCTTCTTCAACTTTGCCATCGATGACATTCTGGAAACAGCTCTGATGGATGTAAGTACTGGTGGTGTGGATCTGTTGCCTGGAGAAAGACTTCTCGACCTTGAATATGCGGATGATATTGTTTTACTGTGCGACAATGCCCAAGGCATGTAAACCGCACTTAATCAGTTGGCAATCGGTGTCCGTAAGTATGGTATGTGTTTTGCACGTTCGTGTATCTGGGTAGCTTCATAACTTCTGATGGTGGCGTAAGTGATGAGATCGATTCACGTATAATGAAAGCCATAGCGGTTTATGCCAATCTGTGCCATCTTTGGCGCCTTCGTGATGTTAGTCTGACTGTAAAAGGTCAGATCTACAACGCGTCGGAGAGAGCAGTTCTGCTCTATGCTTGTGAAACGTGACCTCTCTGAGTTCAGGATGTTAGACGACTCTCTGTGTTTCATCATCGTTGTCTCCGAAGGATTGCTCACATCCAGTGGCAACACCATGTTAGTAATGCACAAGTTCGGTATCGTGTGTTCGGTCACAGAGACGATCATCCAATTCGTGTCACCATCTTGAAACATCGACTTCGGTGGCTTGAACATGTTCTACGAATGTTGTCCCAGAGAATCCCACGTCGTGGGACTGGCTGGAGAAAGCGGAGAGGTGGTCAGTGTATGACATGGTTTCGTGGTATGAAAGAAAGCTATAGAGGACTGGCTTCTGTCAGACCTTCACGACTCCGTGTTAGAAGTCCTAGTGATGGTGTAACACAGTGGCTAGAGACGTTATCAGATACGGTTCAGAATAGAAGCCAGTGGCGATCATGCTGTAACCTTCTTTTACTTTTTCCATAAAAAATGGACGCAACTTCCTTAACTGTAAGAGTTGTTTCTGGTTGTACCTTTGCTAACTGAACTGCCTCTTAAATTAACGCTACACAATCGTAGACTTTCTGTTAGTTATTGTCCCCATTTTTCTCATACGCACCTTACATTCTCTATTTCTTCACAATCTGATTGTTATTCTGTGGTGCATATGCATTTGGTCGCCCTTCATATCAATATTTATATGTTCAATTGTAAATCGTAATCCTAATTCCTTACACGAACCCTCATTCAACCCTCTAGTAAGTAGCTGGATATCACAAGGTCTTTTTAGTGTTGCTCAAATGTCGTCCATAAATCCTAATCTCACCACGATTAGTCGTCAACCTTGTATCTTGCATAGTGGAGGATCTACCTAGGGGAGTTGGAAAACCCTCATTCCAAATCAATGGGTATATGTGCTCTTCATGATCCTGAGGGAACAAATGACGTATGAACCTGTTGTTAAACAACGGCTATCATTGGACCGAATACCTTAACGGTGCTCCACTGACTTGTGGATTAGATCTCTAAATCAAAAGCTCCAATCGTGACTACCTAAGAAAACCACCTGCTTCCGTTTGAGCCCTTACAAAAATTGGATGATTTGTGTGGTACACATATATTTGATGCCTCCTTGCACCAATGTTCAGCTGTTTTCTAAACGAAAATAAATAAATAAATAAATAAATAAATAAAAGTGATCAAATAAAGAGTAGAGCATATTTTCTTACAACTGCAATAGATCGTATCAAACCAAATCAACAATAAACTCAACGTACCCGTCTATAGTTGAAGGAAAATCAGGGAATAATGATGATTTTGTAGTGAATGTATTAATTGAATGTAAAAGTTTTAAATTTTTCGTTGAATGTATTGTAACACCTTTACGTTCTGAATTAATCATCACTAAATGAGATTGATATGGATGAAATTTCATTTGACTTGATATAGAACAATAATTATCATTATTACTATTATTATTATTGCCATGATTGAGATGATGATTATAAAAAGCTATAGGATGTAAACAATAATTATCTAGGGAATTATTTATATTATTATCACCACTATCATTGCTACGAAGACTAATACGACTTCTACTCATGTTACTCATACCAACACTACTACTAATATTATTATTAGTAGTAGTGATAGGTGTTGAATTACAAAATGAAATATTTCGACTGATTGTAGTTGTTGTAGTGTTAACATTTGAATTAGATGTAACTATTGGATGTGAAATTTGTCCAGCAACACGTTCCCATTGTAAACGTCCTAGATGAGAAATTTTTCGTTGTTTTTTTAAACGATTTACACGATCTGTATAAGCGACTGCTTTTGGATCAATAGAGATTGTACCCAATGAGACTGGTTCATAATCTGTGGATAATTGTTACAAGAATAACAAAAGTTGGTTAGCAGTACAATGAAAGGCATTAGTCATACCAACACTAATATAAATACATTACATCAAAATAATTGACCATGGGCTGCTAACTTGAACTAATCGTAGGATTTCCCTATCATGATGGGACAACCAAGAAATATTGTCTGGAATACTCACTTTCTTAAGTTTTTCTGTCTCAAATGGATCAATTGGAAAGCGATGAAACTAAAAGTACCAAGGTGAGATCTGTGGTGTAACATTAGTAAGCTGTTAATTTCAGATAACCAACTCATACAAAGATGTTGGCTTCCTACAATGGAAGGAAAAGGTTATAAAAGTACGACCATAGAGGTAACAGAATTCATCTTACCTCACCAATTGCTTTCGTCTGTAGAAAGAACTTAAATGTATGGAGTTAACATATCAAGATCTATTCATATTAAGATCTTTTTTTTAACAGCTTGTAACACTTGTCCTTTGCACAAACAACCTTATCCCCGACTATTAATCCAGTTCGCTATTCAGGTACCTCAAGAAGTAACTATACACGATATGAGCGACTGAAAAATGACAATCACTTACATACCTCTAACAATAATCAAGATTATATCAACACAAGAAGCACAACAATCTCTGTTCAGATATAAGTCATTTCACTATATGTTACTTCCAAATACCATATTTTCATAAACAAATAGACGATAATCTTGTAGTGATCACTACATTCGATTAAAATGAACGCAAAAGTCTTGTTAGCTGCAGAAGAAACTTACATACGTAATAGGAATAAACAAGCATTATAGAATTTGTTTTCAAATGATGACAATCATATAATCGAACGAATGTTATAAAAGAAAGTGATCATACTACTAATCCACTTGTTAAACAAAAATACATGAAACATAACTCAAAATGTAAGTTAGTTACATGAAATGTAAATGATTTCCACTATATGATCAATAAACCATTGAAGACAACTTAGGAGCCGTCTATCAAAGTGTATCGGCATATATAGATATATCTCTTTATGGCGGATAAAAGCACTGGGTTTAAACGGAATCAAGACTCCACGTCTCAAGTCGGAACAAATAGATAAGGCACGATGAGTGTAACTATCCAAATGTGACCGAATTTAGATCACGATATCTAACACATTTAAAATTTGATCATGAGTATGGCGTCAGGTTGCAGCGAAAAGGTTTGCAAGTGCTTATCAAGTATATTAATCACCATCATAGTGTTCACATGAAAAAGAATGAAACATAATACTTAGCAGTCACCAAGTCATAGGTAACGTAAGTGTATCGCTTCGAATTGTCCCAAAATATCAGTAAAACGAGATGATAAAATGAAAACAAATGTAAGAGTAGTGGAAGTAGTCAATGTCAGACTTCTACAATACAGTTCAAGACGGAATATATTTCTGAAGTAACAACTAAAAGGCAATTTACCATTCAAGATTTAGAAAAAAAAATAGGAATGAATATATTCATTTAATTAAAACGGATACTGTCCCAAATCAACCAATGTCTCTATCCATTGAGTACACTCCAACCAAGTGTTCTTTACATACAGATACAAATAAGTACAACAGTCATTGACTTCATGACCTTATTCTTACATCATCCAACATCACATGTTGAAGGATATAGTGTCTAGGCACGTGTAACACATTCCCCTAACATCAATAGTAGCCCATTCGATAAAAATTCCCAACAAAATCAGCCGATTCGCTGTCGTTATCTAACAGAAACTGATCACCTAACATCAACAACGACTGATGAAATCAAAAATCATATACAAAAGATAAAGTAAAATCTCAAATTTTACCGAAGGAGTTTTTTGAGGTAGTTTGACTTTTCGATTGTCCATTGTTCAATTGTCCATATTTAGATAAAAGTGGACGAGTAAACCATCGACAAGACCAAGCAAAAAACTGCGTATGTACAGTATCTAGTGATGACGGGTAATTACTATTACTACCACTACTATTAGTAGTAGTAGCCGGTAATTCACATGTTACCTAATCATAATAAAAACAAAAAATATTTTCAAACATTACTCAATAATTAAGTGTCAATGTATGCTAAAACGATGTCAGTCAGTCAGATACAACCTAGAACCAGGCACATATATGCATCGATTCAAGTAGCACAACAAGATGATCACCAAGTTCATAGAAGTAGTTACTTCAATGGTAATAATATATAAAAAAAGATTGCATATAAGGATATAATACAGGGAGAAAGAATTAGTTGGTAGAAAGGAAGGTATAAAGCAGTTTTATTCTCCGATTTAACGGATGACAAGGAGTGCATACGCCGACGCCATTATGATCGATTCTGAACCATGTCACCCAGACTTTTCAACCATTAGTTACGATAGTCGGACAAACCTCTACTATTTAGTCTGCATCTACCAACATGGCTCAGACTAGAAGCTAGTGACTTCAAGGACTGATGCCACATTTTGGTCTAACCTCACTGTTACTTACCCGGTAACCCCAGCAGATGCTGGCAATACATTTAAGATCTATATGACCAAATAGCAGTAGCTTACACGTATCTTCTACCCTTAATGGCCACGTTTCTCAGCTCGTACAGGTTTATGCATAATTGATCCGGTCGATAAATCACTGTTCTCTAATTGGCGGTATCATTACGTAATAGGGCATCAACCCTCAAGTTATAACACGGTGAACCAAAGCCATTTCGTTTCATGCCTTCATCTCTATTTATACCTAATTGTTTTAATTCTAATCCCATTCCCCAATACACTACCGTCTTTAAGCAAACATAGAAATATATAACTATCCCTGATGATTAGATGATCTTATCACACACCAGACTAAACATAAATATTACCAGTCAACTGATTGAAAAACAATTATTTAGTAATATAATTTACAGGAAAGAACTTACAGTGTTATTAGAGATTATTGTATTAGGTAATTGTGGAGAATTTGTGACAGATACACGTAACCGTTGATCAGTTTGTTGATGTCGTCGACCAGGGAATTGTGCAGAATGAATAAGGGAACTAGAAGAGGGATTAGTAGTTGTCATTTGTAATGCAGAATTAGTAGTAATTGATGTAATAGTATTAGAATTTAGTTCTTTAATAGAAGCACTAAAGTAAACAGACAAAACATTTTGAGAACAAAATCACATTATCTAATATATTAATGATTTAAGGTTAAGTATGTAAATTGCTGGATACCTAGGAAAAAGTGTAAACATATCAAACTGATAGAAGGATTTCTTAAAACTGATGTCCAAGATGGTTATTATCATAATCTTAGACATGTTTATTTGAAAGACTTATTACGAATATTGTTTCCAATCATCATCAACCTCAATAGGAAATGCCTGTTAGTCTAGAAGTAAATATGAAAGGAAAATATCAGGACAATCGAACAGAAAACATAGCAATAGTCTATCATCTCATTAAGTGTCGGGGACAATAGATCCCCAAAACTCATATTTTGTAATTTTATCATATCGATTAACTTATCGATTAAATATTTGAATGACTGTCGATTGATGAACTCACTGATTAATGTTTAAAAACATTTTACTATGACGATATCGATTATAAATATTTGTATAAATACGCCTGATTGACCTGGCCTGACCTGACCTGATATCTGCTGGTTGCCTGTAGAATACACTTTCTACGTCTTATCAAGACTTCTTGATCGAGTTAGCTGAGTCGAGGACAACGGACTAGAATAGCCTATTGAGTCTCTGAATTCCTTGATTCGATCGACAAGTCACTGCCCTATAATCGGCGGCTTTATGAGTCATAACATTAAGGACCAAAACATGATCATCTTCAATGGTACAGATTTCTAACTTCAATTAACTTCTGATTCATAAACTAAACCTAATCGATATGAATTAAACAAATCTTTGTCAGTAAAAAAAACAACTTACTTTTCTGAAAAACGGCTTGAATTATTGTTATCAGGTGTAGAATTCAACTCGTTTACAGTATTTGATGCATTGTCATTAGATGTATTACTACTTGTGAATGATGTATTCAATGATGAGATTAAAGTTGTATCTTCATTTGTTATAAATTTATCATTATTATCATTATTATTTGGTGAATTGTAACAAATAGCTTGAAATTCAGCCTTTTTGACAATCACCAACAGCGAAGTGATAAGAAAAACAAACAATGAGTAAATATAAAAACAGTCGGTGAAATCAAAGTTTTGGAAAGCAATAAAATGCAACATGAATTATTTGTAATTCACAACTTGAACTGATTTCAGGTAATTCAGGGAATAATAAACAGCTTATTTGATCAAATTACTTAATTTCGCTGCAAAGACCTTTATTCCGAAAAGTAGTTGAAGCGGTGGTTTAGTGGTTAAGGAGCTAGACCTTCAGCTACTAAGCAACAAGTTTGAATAGATGGCTTAATCGATTCCTGTTTACGTAACTAAGAGGTAAGATTAGTTATTATACCTCATTGATAGCTTAAAGACAAGTACGGTGGATGAGTCAATACCAATAGACTTATGACAATAGCCATACGGTTATTTAGTGACTGACTAATTTTGAGATGAATTCCAAAAGTCAGAATAAGAAGTTATGGAAAGATGTAATCGATACTAAAGAGATTATAGTCTTTTAATACCATGCAATGATTTGAAGCTGGAAATATATGAAATTCCTCTACAACTCATTCGTTAATCAGATCATGAATGTGAACTTTAAGAAGTTTCATGTTACAAGGAAACAACTGTTTTATTAACCAATGAATAAATGTCGCACTTGGGACTACTTACTTAATTTATTTCCTAAATTTCATTTGGCCTATTCTTTATAGACTAAAGTGACAGACTATGTGTTACGTAGCAACAGCTACCACCGATTTCAAGAAATAATGGGAATATGTTAAAAGGAAGCAAAGAATCACTACACCAAAATGTGGCACCAGTCCATAGTGACACTATCAAACAGGTTACTCAAAGTCTCAAACCAATAATTATGATAATTTCGTAAGCTCCAACTATGTAATTGGGACCGAACTACATGGCTCAGTCCAATAATTAGCACCTTCATGGACTGATACCCTGTCTTGGTCTGGCTATCCATAGCTTTCTTCCAATCTACTCATTCTAACACCACCAATCATAACGCGCCGAGGTAGTTAAATAGAAATAAACAATACGTGATCCAAACATCTCACTCTCGATAGTGATTCACTACCTCATCAATAAACTTGTAGTGCATAACTAGTACTCTATGTCTGATTTCAGAATTGCTGGCCTTATAGCCTCAAAGTACACGAGCAATTGTTCGAAGGTATCTAAGATCTAATACTAGTAACCTACGAATATCTCCCATTTTCAAAGACCACATTTCACAGTTATAGAATAGAACGAAGAAAACTCATACATAACAAACACGTCATCAGTTGGCGTAAAGTTATTTTATCAACATCACAAATGAAGTAAGTAAGAGAAAATCGACTGAGCTTTCTAAATTTGTGATAATGTGGTGGGAGAACTTGCCACCAAATGCCCTGTTACGGAACAGGGTGGGGAGAGTCATCCCACCCTCTCGAAATGCTCTCACATGGACACGCGTATTTAGCCTCTACCAGGAATGTCCTACTCATTTCCTTCTCAAGGCAGAGTTGTTGTTTACGAAATTGAGAGGACGAAAAGCTAATGTCCGGCGCTGTAACCGTGTTGGTGAACATGAAGAGTCCACCTACAGGAGTTGGAAAACCCTCATTCCAAACCAATGGTGAACATGGGCTCCAGTATCCTGAAGGAACAAATGACGTATGAACCAATCGTTGATCACCAGCTACCATGGGACTGCATCTCCTCACGATGCTCCACTGCCTTTTGGATCAGACCTTCAGGTCGAAGGCTCCGAGTGTGGCCCCATAAGAAAACCAGTTGCTTCGGTTTGGGCATCTGGGTAGTACCACAGTCTGCATATAAATCAAGTGACTTATATGGTGCATTCTATAATTAATTTACAACACAACAATAACATTAAATTAATAAAATTAATATTTCATTACGTAATCAACATATTACATACCTTTTCACGAATCTATACAGGGGGAAAAAGGAGGAGCAAGAAAAATAAATAAATAAACTAACAATATTAGAGAAATAAAAGCTAAAACTTTATTTGATCACAGTATAATCCCGATTGATGTTTAACTGAATACTGAAAATAGTCATTTAAAGTTGAAGGTACAAATGTGAGATGGAAATCTCTTTTACCTATTAACTATTAATTCCCCGACCGTTGTTGCTACCTTGACGTGATGGTCGAGCCAGCCAATCGTGATGAAGCAACCGAGCTATACTGGCTGGAACAACCGTTCCTCAAGGTCCTACCGTGTCAGGCAGGTTGGTTGAAAAGCGGTAACACTAAAAGCAACAAACCCAAGGTCCGAAGGCAAAGTCGTACTGCTGACTGTACAGAGGTGTGACAGCAGTAAGGTATTTCCTTCAGACAACCAGCATGACAGCGATACTGCCCTCCCACAAGGTCGGGTGGGGTTAGAAAAGGTCGACTCTAAAAATACACACCTCGCCTTATCACACAGATATCCGTCTCCGGCGGTAAGGTCTCAACAAGTACGGAGCTAACGCAAAATTACCCATAAAAAAGTCGTGTGTGACCGACCTCAAGCATTTGTCCCTTGGGCACTGCGGTCACGCTCTCAAATCACTAAGACCACCTCTAATCCAATTTCCTTTTCAGGTACCTCCAGAAGAACTCTTCCACGGTGTGCGCAACTGGGAAGTGATAACCGCCCTTATACCTCCAACAGCACTCAAGACTGAACTATTAATTCACACACACGCTTATTCTAATGCTATCATGTTTGTAGTCAAAGTAAAGAATAGTTATAAAAAGCCAAGGTTACTCAAATACCATACTAAGCAAAATCACAGAACTTATTTATGGAGCAGGAGTTGAGAAACATTGTAAACTACATTGAATGATACCCATGTATTTTACACACACACACACGAGTGACCACTTACGTAATCTCAGTCACTGGCTAGAAAAATATCAGTAGTCTAAAAAAGTGTTGATGAGATCATGGTGGTAATAGTAGTAGTGCAGTGTATGCTACTTATATTGACAGATGGGAGTATGTAGCACTAATCCGAAGTGCAATGCCTAGCTTAGGAAATCGAGTTGAAGAGAACAGGATTGTAAACAGAACGTAATTCTAATAACAACAGAATTGAAAGAATCATGAAGCGTATAAAGGACAATGGAAGAAAGATGGGTAAATGATGTATTTAATGTACAGTTTTCATATTTAACGAAGGCATACTGTAATTTTGCATTTAACAATAAATAAGTAATTTCCACCTAGTCTTCGTTCACCACAGTAGTAGGTGCTAGAGTATAAAATCATTAACAGTTGAATTAAGATGTATCAGAAAGGTGAACAATGGTTGGGTTGATATTTTAATCTTTATTCAAAGACCCTAATTTGGCAACATCTGAATGATTACTGAAAAACTTGTCATAACAGAACTTAACTAGTCAATATAGGTCAAGTACAATGGTTTTTGTGAACAATGAATAACATATTTGCTCCGCATTTTTCAAGCCTTTCAGAGATACCGTAAATCTGAAAACCAAGAGGGAAACTATAGTGCCTTAAGTATTCGCTTCATTTCATGAGACGGAGATGTCGGTGGGAATGATACTATAGAGACTACAATAGAAGGTATAAGAATCACAATGAAAGTATACATTTTGTTCAGTCATATTGCATGACCTACAGAATTAAGTGGTCCAGTTAAAAAAGTTGAGTTGTATTGTCACGATAATTAAAATTGATCACTATATTAAATTAGTTTATAAATCAGTGAATACCTAACCAACTCAGCAAGATTTGGGATGAAGAACAGGTACCAACAGACTGGAAAGAAGGTCACCTGATCAATATACCAAGGAAACGCGATTTCGGCAAGTGTGAGAACTACAGAGGTACCAATCTTCTCTCAATACCAGGAAACGTCTTCGACAGGGTAATGTTAAACAGAACGAACAACTCCGTAGACGCCCAACTTCGGGACCAACAGGCTGGATTCCGTATGGATAGATCGTTTACAGACCAAATCGCAACTCTACGAATCGTCGTGGAACAATCAATGGAATGGAATTCATCACTCTACATCAATTTCATCGACTACGAGAAAGCATTTGATAGCATGGACAGAACAACACTATGGAAACTTCTTCGACACTACGTTGAACCTGAGAAGATAGTCAACATCATACGGAATTGCTATGATGGATTGAACTGCAAAATTGTGCGTGGAGGACAACTGACAGACTCGTTCAAATTAAAGACCGGTGTCAGGTAAGGTTGCTTACTCTCACCCTTTGTCATTCACCTGGTGATCGACTGGACCATGTAGACGTCAACATCTACTTAACTTTCTACTACCAGGCGTTTCACTTTCGATTGGTGATGCATACTACTTATATCTGTCGATATCAGTAGCACACACCACAATGTTACTTCTTATAGTCATTACTATCTAATGAATTTCATATAACAAGCTTCTTTTTTCTAATATATATACATAACATCCTAAGTAAGTTTTCAAACTTACTTATGTAGAGGTCGATATTTGACTTTAAACTTTATAGGATGTTGTAAGTATACTGATCATTATTTAAACTCAACAACCGCCAATCTCACATCTGATGTCTGCTGGTTAAATATTAGTTAAGAAAAAAAAACTAGGTGGAGCAAAATCAAAACGTGGCATTAATCCATAAAGTCATTAAATGTCGATAGGTTCCGACTATTAATTTATGATGATCGTAACCGATGATCAGAGATGTTGAGAGACATGGTTCATCATCGGTCATAATGATGTAAATGCGTTCACTGCCTTGGCCAATCTATCTCTTTTTCACTATTTAAATAGACATATATGATATGTAAATGGAACCAATAGGCAAAATTAATAGAAGGTAGTGAAAATAAGATTGTCTTCTTTTTATTTACCTTTCCATATAGATACTGTATTAAAATTGTAGCAAGACGAGAAACTTCTGGATGAGGATCTTGAGCTAATTGAACTAATGTAAGCCAAAATTGAACGTAGATATTTGTACTAGGTGTATTACCACTACCTTAAATAAAATGTAATTGGAAAAAGAGAGGAAAATAGAAAGAGAATAATGTTAAACGAACAAAATACTGAATACATTGAGCATAAAGAAAAACTAACATTTCTCATTATAAATGCACACAGTATATTGTATCATGTATATATATACAAGCATATAAACAATAAATCGTTAAATTTATGTGCATGCCCAAATTGAAACAATTAGCTTTCTTAGGGGATTATTTCTTAAGCCTTTGATCTAGAGGTCGAATTCATAAAGTATTAGAGCGACAGAAGGAGACGTTTACCCATGATAGCAAGTGACCAATAATAGGTTTATACTTTATTTGTTTCTTCAGAACCTGTAATTCATGTGAATCACTGATTTGGAACGAATGTTTTCGAACTCCTTTAAATGGATCGTCCTTATTCATTAATCGAGTTTAATGGTACACGGAACGATCGGTTTTTGTCTGTCAATTTCTTAAGCAACAGCCTTATCGCCAAAAGACGGAATAAAAGTAGGAGTTTGCTGACAGTGAGTATATGCCCATGGTCATATGAGAGGAATTATTGATGAGAGGGACAGTGAAATTTTAACACTCTCGATCATACCATTTATTTATTTTAACACAAATATTGGTACAAGGAGGCACCAAATACATATGCGCCACACAAATTTCATTTGAGATGTCTGAGGGCTGTAACACTGCTCGGATGCCCAAACCGAATTTCTTGAGGGGTCACACCTGGAGCCTTCGACCTGAAGGTTTGATCCACAAGGCAGTGGACCATCGTGAGGAGATGCAGTCCCATGGTAGCTGGTGATCAACGATTGGTTCATACGTCATTTGTTCCCGCAGGATACTGGAGCCCATGTGCACCATTGGTTTGGAATGAGGGTTTTCCAACTCCTGTAGGTGGACTCTTCATGTTCACCAACACGGTTACAGCGCCGGACATTAGCTTTTCGTCCTCTCAATTTCGCAAACAACACCCCCGCCACAAGAAGGCAGTGTGTAGGACCTCCCTGGTAGAGGCTATATACGCGTGTCCACGTGAGAGCACGTGAGCGGACTCTCCCCACTTTCGGCCATACCAGAGCATTTGGAGGCCTCTACCATACCAGGACACATTGGTGCGTTGGATCGTTAGCCCTTTTATAGTCAAATATTATCTTCAGTTGGTTGACGCCATACCATTTAGAGGTTTCTCTCTACTTCCCTATTACACATACACGCAAACACATATAGACACAAAATATTGTAAAAATCCACTATAATTCAACGATGTTAGCCATGATTCACAACGTTTCGCAACATCAATCAGTCAGTCCAAGAAAAAAAAGAAGCATGAGACATAGATGTAACAAATCAGTAATGTGAAATGAACTTATCAACAGAAATGCCACAGTGACAAGAGTAGTAACAGTACCATTAATAATATTAATAATAATGATACTGAAAGGATTAAAGATAGACAATATGATAGAGGAAAGTAAGGAGGAATTCGCTCAAATTTTGAAGAGGGATAAAAAGTTAAGGCATATTTGCCATTCCAATCAATTCGCATTCATATCACTCAGTCACTCAATCATTTTAAAATAATCACCCAGACCTAACTCAATTTTCAATAGTCAACACTATATACACTCAAGTTGGGAACTATTTTTTGCTTAAAAAAAGACATGTTATTTACAAAAACGATCAATATACACTTGTTCAAATAACATAAGAGGAAAATGAGAGAATTATAGACGAAAAAGTCAACTAAATGAATGCACTGGATATTAAATATGTTTATATAAAATCAAAGACAATCAACGACGCGTCGCAACCTGGTACTAATATAGCTTGGTAAATGTGGCTGCAATCCATACCTGCTTACTAGATGAATTGGTAGGGCCAAGAGTGAGTATGGTTTGCTCTCTCTCTTTCCCAAAATGTCCTGATATGGTTGTGAGTTGATAGTCTCTGACAGTGAAATTCTACTCACTGTTTTCATGTAGCAGTAGTGTTTTTTACGAAAGTAAAAGGGTAAAAAGTTAACGTCCGGCACTTGAACTGAATCGGTGGATAAAAATGATCCGCCTACATAGGGAATGAGGAAAACACTGACTTCAAACCAATAAGGTACGTAGATTTTAGGATTATAAGAGACACCCCTCCTATTAAACTGATTGGCCACGAAGTAACCTCGGATACCATGTTTGTCGGGTACTTACTATAGCTAAATGAATATTATTGATCAAGCTGTAATATAGTCAATGATCTAAATGACTCAACGTTCCATGAACTATGAGTAAATGTTCGGCAGTTGAAGTGATTCAGTAGTAAACTCTCGACATATGCTTCATGCAAGGTGTACAGTAATTTAAAACTAGACGACCCAGGTTTGAATCCGCGAAAGAGTATCAGCTTCATGAAGATAGCAGGTACATACATCTTGCTGACAGATACCAACTAGCACAATTTATTATCGACTACTCTATTCTAACTTTCATAAAATTATTGTTCACCATAAACTGATCATGTTATATCACGTTACACCCTCTAGTACTAGGAGATGTATCTGCTTCATCAACTGTCCATAAACTTTAACCATAAATCTGATACTTACGAATATCACCACTACAATATCACTTTAAGTTTAACCGTGGTTAGTAATTACAGTAGAAAAATATCGGGGGAAAAAACACATAAAAAGAGATGTTAGGAATACTATTTACAAAGAAAAAACAAACAATCATCTGTAACAAAATAACCCATACTAACTAACTAACCAGTGAAAAACACTGAACCAGGATTGAAAACAGATTTACGTAAAATTGGCGAAGCTTGTGGTTGTGTATTGATTAAATGAGATTTATGATGAGAATAATAATAATTGTAGTTATGTTGTTGATCAACTTCTCGACTTGATGATTTTGTTAAAAACCAACCACTATGTAAATTGATATGATTAGAAGTTAACTCTGATTGACGAGATATGAGTAGACCTCCACCTCCGCCGTTCCCGTACCTCCTGGTGGAGTAATTACACCTGTGTTTAAAAAAAAAGATTAAGGAGAACAAGAATAGATGAATAGTCTTGACGAAGAAACGCAATGGATACATAAATTTATATTCTTAAAAACTCAATAACTTAAATATTGTATGTAAAAATACAGACAACTGAAGCTTATTTGAATATGTATTATATATGCATGAACATATCATACCTCAATATTTTCTCCACTGCATTGTGGATCAGACCTCTAAGTCAAACGCTCCGGACGTGGCCCCTTTTAAGTAAACCACCTACTTCGGCGGGGCACCCAGTCTGCATCGCAACACACACACACACATCAAGTGAATTGTGTGCCACATATATATTCGGTGCCCCTTTGTATCAATATTTAGCTGTTTCAATAATAATAATAATTATGAATACATGACTTTTCCGAAGAGTTGGCTTCATGCCTTTCATAAAAAGTGTGACAGTAAATAGCATGATCAATACGCAGAAAACTAATGATGGGAAAAATAGCCGGAACTAGAAACTCAGTATCTGACATTAAATCATTTTAAAGCATAAAATCAGACGTTTAGTTTTTATTCAAAATGCAAACTTCAAAATTCCTTGGTATCTTATGTTCTGTATTAAAAATACTCTAGTCTTTTTTTTGCTGTTTGAAGTGTAACGACTTTTTACATTTAAAATATATGAATTCGAATCTTTGGCAGTTAAAACCGTTCTATTTCAGTTTGGACAGTTGGTTGCGATTAGTAACTTTCACAGACATACACAGATACAAAACGTTTGACTTGAGGTAAACTATACTTGTAAGATTTCTTTGACGGAGTTAAGGGGCCAAAATACTACCAGTCTGGTTAAAATATTACTCGTTGTGTTTAAAGCGATCCCTTCGTTTTTGAAAACAATAAACCATTAGAATATCATTCTTATTAAGATATTTGGGAGAGGCGCAGACATAGGGAAAGTATTTAGAGGTATTCGATTTTCAATCACATATTCGAACCTACATCTCAGGCATTTCCATTTGGGCAGTTAGGTAGTGCCACAAGTCCTCATGATTAGAGTGTAGTTCTTAAAATTTTAGAAGGTATATGAAATCTGTTACATTCACGCTCTCTTTCCAATTACACTTTTTAAACTAATGAAAAACATTAAAAAAAGAAGAATATATTTGTAAAATCTCAGCGAATGAATTTTGTTGTTTGATTATATTTTCCTTGAAAAGCTTGGACCAGATTGCCAGGCGAAACGTTGGATTTACTTAAAATTCATTCGCTGAGATTTTACAAATATATTCTTCTTTTTAATGTCTCAAATTAACTCGGCGCCCAAATATTGTGAAACTATTCGTTCAAATTTAGACGAAAGTTCTTATCTGATGAAAAACATGATTTTTTAAACGGCTAATGAAGAGTTTACATATAAAAAAGATGTTTGAAGATTTACGGAATATTGTACGACAAAGTGTAGGTTGTATTGTTGTTATTACAAGACATACGATGAAACTCAATCATGTTCCAGATAAAAATAACGTAATGTAAAAAAGACAGTTAGCAGAATAAAAGATCGAAAAAAATTCCTTTGCAGAAGTGAAACATAATCCTGTCAATTCCGTAAACAAAACCCCCGCCGTGGAAAGGATGTGAGTAGGACTTCTTTGACATTGGCTGAATACACGTAGCCAAATGAGAGCATTTTTAGAGGGAGAAAGGACTCCAACCACCTTCCACCGTAACCAAGTATTTGATGGCTCCTCCATTTAAAGTAAATTAGTATTAATAACACTAAACGTCTTATATACAAGAAGTGTTTATAGTAAAGTATATGAACAGGTGAGCTAGCATTCACAGACGTGACCGTTTGCTTATCCAACTCATTTTTTGTGTATTGTTTTATACTACTTGTTAATATTCAGTAACCAATTTCATTTCTAATCATTTCTCAACGAATGTTATGATGTATGTTTATTGTCCCCCAAATGCCCTGGTACGGCACAGGGTGGGGAGAGTTCACTCACCCTCTCGAAATGCTCTCACATGGACACGCGTATATAGCCTCTGCCAGGGAAGTCCTACTCATTACCTTCTCGTGGCATTACTGTTGTTTACGAAATTGAGAGGACGAAAAGCGAATGTCTGGCGCTTTAATCGAGTTGGTAGACATGGAGAGTTTTACCTAGGGGAGTTAGAAAACCCTCATTCCAAACCAATACACATGGGCTACAGTATCCTTAAGGAACAAATTACGTGTGAACCAATCGTTGGTCTTATATTAAGAATAAATAAATACACTTACTTATTGTACTATGACGCATAGGTCTTTTTGCAGGGCATGATGTTATTGAATGTAATGATAATTTTGTAGAATTTTGGTGTGATTTTTGTTGAGATTGTTTATTATATATTTCTTGTATATATTGTATACCAATAGCGCATAATTGTGATTCAAATTGTTTCACTAAACCACGAAATGCTTCAACAACCATACAACGTACTAATGGACAAGCATCACGTGATGAATATTTGACTAATTGACCACCAATTTCATGACTTATCTATAAAATAATGAAGAAGAAAAAGAAATGAGGAGTTCGATCAAAATCATTCAACACAATCAGGGAATCGAAGGTAATGACGGAAAAGATTTGCAGCTTAGATGTTTTAATTGTGTTAAGCTTTGTCCTTATTGTTTGAGAGATATGAAGGTTATATGATATGATATGCTATTGCTAATGTCAAATAGGGACAATCTATCAACTTATATGACAAAGAACAAACAATCACAAGATTAGAATTCAACTGAAAAGCCGAGAAAAATAAATGAAGACAACAAAATGCATAAAAACGATGCATCATAAACAAGTCCAATAGAATGAACGGACACATTTTTATTGAATAACTTCTACATGAAGTAGACGATGAAGAAGTTGTTCAGAAAAACAATAAAAACTCCTTTATTAAACGATATAATTCATAAAGAACAAATACAAGAATTGGAAATAAAATAAGATTGGTCATCCAGAATCTTCAATACGAATGTCAGGACACTCCTAATGTACGGAGCTGAAACATGAGAACGACTACAACCATCATCAAAAACACACAATTAAAAACAGTTGTCAACACAAGATACTATATGTCAGTCGAACGGACAGCATCAACAACAGAATACTGTGGGTGAGAACAAACGAGCTTGTGAAACCTGGTCTCTCCGAGTTGAGGACGTTAGACGACTCTCTGTGTTCGATCATCGCTGTCTCCGAAGGATTGCTGACATTCAGTGGCAACACCATGTCAGTAATGCAGAGGTTCGGCATCGTGTGTTCGGGCACAGAGATGATAATTCAATTGGTGTCACCATCTTGAAGCACCGACTTCGGTGGCTTGGACATGTTCTCCGAATGTCGTCCCAGAGAATTCCACGTCGTGCATTATTTGCCGACTCTGGGACTGGTTGGAAGAAGCGGAGAGGTGGTCAGTGTCAGACATGGTGTCGTGGCATGAAAGAAAGCTATACAGGACTGGCTTCCGTCGGTCCTTCGCGACTCCCTGGTTGGGGTCTGAGAGATGGTGCGACACAGTGGCTAGAGACGTTATCAGATATGGCTCAGAATAGAAGCCAGTGGCGATCCTGCTGTAACCTTCTTTTACGTTCTTCATAAAAAGTGGTTGTGTCTCCTTTACCTGAAAGATTTCTTCTGATTGTACCTTTCCGTTCTCTCGTTAATACCACACTACCTTACACCAATCTCTTCGTTATTGTTCTCTTTTTCTTTTGCGCTCCTCAGTTTCTTTTTTCTATCTCTCTTCGAATTCTCATTGTTTTGTGTGGCGCATATATATTGGCGCTCTCTTGTACCAATATCCATGTGTTCAAATAAATAAATAAATAAATCAGCCGAAGAGGAAATTAGGAAAAGACTCTGAAATGGACAGGAAATACACTGCGGAAATCACCAAACTGCATCACGAAGCAAGTGTTAACTCGGAATCATGAAGAGGGAAGGAAAAGAGGAAGGCCGAAAATGGGAAACAGACATGAAAAGGATGAATAGCAAGTGGGAACAACTATATATATATATATATATATATATATATATATATATATATATATATATATATATGTTTTGAATTGTGTTTGTTGTTATCGCTCGTTTCTGGCTGTTTGCAGAATATGCTTCCCCATTCCAAGCTTGGACTTTTCCCTCTAGTTAGCGGGGCTGGGACGCATCAATAGCTAGCTTACTGGTTTTCGGTCACCGAGTCTTGTTTCTCGTTCGCAGATTAGGTAAACTCGTGATAGCTTAAAGTCTAGCAATCTATACTGATTATGCTATCTAGAAGGACAAGAAAAGCTTACGTGATTAAACTAAATCAAGCTAAAAGAAATAAACTCAACTCGTAAACAAAATTTTTAAAAAATATAGCTCACTTGATCTGCATGATTTTGTTTCGATGAATCAGTAGTTTGATTTTCAATGAGATTGCCAAGAGCATAAACTGTAGCTGCTCGAACCTGAAATGTCCACATAAACATTAAGAGAGAGTTGGTTTAAGATTAATGATAATAACAAGGGTTTATCTTTAATAATCTACCTGTCAAATAACTCTGCATGTAACCACCTTCCAGGATTACTGAGAATCTCCAATTCAGATAATGGAGAAAATATGGGTATAGGATTAGCAACTCATTCCGTGGAAAACAATCTTGTTAAAATAAGAAAAAACGCTAGGACCCACCAGTTAAAATAAACAAAGTGGATATGCATTACTGTCGATTTCATAACGCATATTGTTTCACTTAAAGTAAAATCGAACTGAACACTGTAAATCTCTTTTGTTACCGTATCGATGAACTGAAGAGTTTAGCAGCTTAGTTCTTAAACATAATCAGTATGGGGATTTGTGAAAAACGTAGTATTTTAACAGTTGAATTCAAGAGTCGATTTAGGATGGACCACCACTAAAACCTGAAAAAAGTGGACGGCCGTTTCTACCTAGCCTGGGGCCCCCAAATGACCTGGTACGACCGAGAGTGGTGAAAGTCCGCTCTCCCTCTCGAAATGCTCTCACACGGCCACGCGTATATAGCCTCTGCCAGGAAGTCCTACTCACTGCCTTCTCGTGGCATTACTGTTGTTTACGAAAATGAGAGGACGAAAAGCGAACGTCCGGCGCTTTAACCGGATTCCAAACCAATGGTGCACATGGGCTCCAGTATCCTGCGGGACAAATAGCGTATGAACCAATTGTTGGTCACCGGCTACCATGGACTGCATCTCCTCACGATTCTCCACTGCCTTGTGGATCAGACCTCTAGGTCGAAGGCTCGGGGAGTGGCCCCCTAAGAAAACCACCTGCTTCGGTTTGGGCACCCGGGCAGTATCACATACCTCACACAAATCAAATGAGATTTGTGTGGTGCATATGTATTTGGTGCTTACTTGTACCAATATCTATGTGTTAAATCAATAATAATAATAATAATAATAATAATACCTAGCCTGGGACTCCTTAGTATTGCCGATAGACAATCCTACACTCATGACTCGAACTACAATCTACACAAATCTCCTAAACTGATAATGAATACGTGCTCACGAGTGACTAGATTCAAGATGGAACTGCTGGAGTTTTAGTGAAAGGCCGTGATCAGTGGAGTTCAATCCGTGTCAAATGGAAACAGTTGTCCACCTCAGACAACAGATGATGAGTTGCGCAGATAAATAATCGATGCCGGCGCAGTGATCTACAGGTTAGGCACGAGACCGAAGGTTAGAATCCCGTGCGCAATATTGTGGATACGCATAGCTGAGGAGTTCCACACTAAACGAAACGGCCATCCAGTGCTTCCAGATCTTCAATGATGGTCTTGCTTAGACTGACTCGTGAATTCAACTATTAAACATAATCGTTTCAAATGGAACGTCAATAATCCCTGTCTAAATGTGGCAAGCTTATACAAAGGCCATAAGCCAACGCGTTAGGTGAAAACAACACGTGAACATTTAGTCACAAACATAAATGAAATCTTATCATCGACTCATCATAATATGAAATAAAGTATTGTTGTGAATATACATAAACAAATATATCTAACTTATTGATGTCAATTAAATAATCCTCTCTCTTGACAAAATACACAACATACCTCCGGTGAAATATCATTTAAATAAGCCAGAAGTACTTCTGGTAAATTATGTCGTATACCAAACCATCGAGCTTCATCATTTTTACACCACAACTATAAATAAATAATAAAAAAGTAAAACAAACAAACAAGAGGCTAACGAAAATGAATGATATATTTTTATGCAACATCACTTTACTTACTTACTTACGCCTGTTACCCCTCATGGAGGAGCATAAGCCGCCTACCAGCATTCTCCACCTAACCCTGTCCTGGACAATCCTTTAATGTATATATATATATATATATATATATATATATATATATATAGGTTAGCGTTTTATTAGCAGCTATTTTCTACAGGATGTTGACCGCATGCCCAACCTTCCTCCTTTACCCGAGCTTGAGACCGGCAGTAATCAAAGAAGAGCTAGGGGCGTATTTAACATCAGTTCACACCAAGTACAAATCGGTTTATGTACAATTTAAACTCAAACACTATGAATGATTCTCTTAACCAAAGAAATGATCAAACCAATGTATGTGAATTAAAATATTCCTCCATTTATTTATCTATATTACTTATGAGTAACCAGTATTTGTTGCATAATTTCTCTCGTCCACTTCACTGTTAAGTGGTGATTTCTCTTACTTCATGGTTAACATTAAGGGATGATCACAGTTAAACAATAATTGGAAGCCAAGATGCAGAGGATAAGTGCACCAACTTATTATGGAACTCCACATCTATGCTAATCTATAACTCTACCACTAGGGACCTTGGGTTACGTGCACGAATGCTCAACCTCTAGACCACCGGGGACAATCGAATGGTTTACATACTATCTTATTCGATGGTACACTTCGTCATCTGTTCCACTATATAAATGTAGACAATTGCTTTAGATGTCTACACTCAGTTTATTGCTGTGAATGTGTACAACCACTCACTATTTACACATAGTGATGCATAAATAATCCAAGAAGCAAAACCACTCCTATGACTTTGACCGACCTCGAATGTAAGCTTAAGAAATTGTGACGTAATCAGAATTGAAACCAAAGTGTCATTAAGTAAATGACTACCATTCATATCAAATATATCTCAATAGAACAATCCATTGGAAAAATTTTAACATGGAGAATAAGTTATGCGTAAAACAAGATTTCGACTGAAAGATATCACAATATAATCACACAATGAAAATTTACAGTTACGATGTTTAAAGTAAAATGCATAAACTTGACAATAAACCACATACTACACACCAGTAAGCTAAAAAAATTTAAAACCTGTTTGTATTAAATTCATGGAAATGGTGATTAACAACAGAAGTCTGTCCTGTACATAGATGTTCTATACGATGGCACCGTGTCATAAACTGACCGCTTTACCATTCCCGGGAGCAGTCCCAGAGTCGGAAAATAATGCACCCTAAGAAGTCTGTAGAAACGCCATTCGTAGAACATGTTCGAGCAACCGAAAAAGGTATTTCAAGTTGGTAAAATCAAATTAATTATCGTCGCTGTGGCTGAACACATGATGATGAACCTCTGTATTACAAAAAATGGTTTCGCCACCAGATGTCAGCAATCCTCCGGAGACAACGAAGACGAAACACAGAGATCCATTTAACATTCTCACCTTGGAGAGATCAGGTTTCACGAATACAGAGCAAAACTGCTAGCACTGATGCATTGTAGATCCGACCTTTTCAACCAGACTAAAATCACGAAGGCACCAAAGATTGCCCAATTATTTATTTTAACACAAATATTGGTACAAGGAAGCACCAAAGACATATGCACCACACAAATCGAATGAGATTTGTGTGAGGGATGTGATACTCCCCGGGTGCCCCAACCGAAGCAGGTGGTTTTCTTAGGGGGCCACATCCGGAGCCTTCGACATGAAGGACTGATCCACAAGGCAGTGGACCATCATGAGGAGAAGCAGTCCCATGGTAGCCGGTGACCAACAATTGGTTCATACGCCTATTTATTTCCTTCAGGATACTGGGGCGCATGTGCGCCATTGGTTTAGAATCTGGTTAAAGCGCCGGACGTTCGCTTTTCGTCCTCTCGTTTTCGTAAACAACACCCCCGCCCGAGAAGGCAATGAGTAGGACTTCCCTGACAGAGGCTATATACGCGTGGCCGTGTGAGAGCATTTCGACAGGCAAAGCGGACTCTCCCCACTCTTGGCCGTACCAGGGCATTTAGGGGCAAGATGGCCCACACTGGCATAAGCTTCATTATACGTGAACTGATCTCATATTTCACACCACCACGATCACTTATGGAGCTTCTGAAGTGCACAAAATTTTCGACGACTTCTAACTGGTCACTACTCACGGACACGAAAACTAGATCAAGCAAACTTTCATAATCAACCTCCCTCTCCAATTCCTATTATTCCTCCTCCTCTGACTGACTGAAACTTTCCATCTGACTACCTCCAACCACCGAACTTCAGAATATGTTGAAAATGAGTTCAATTCACTAAGACTAGTGGTCATAGTGTAACTTGATCGCACATCGCTAAAAGATCAGGCAAACATGGTGTTGGTCACATTTCAGTGATCAAACCGACTCTATAAACCTGGTAGATCTATTAACAGGTCGATTATTAATGCCTTCTTAGTCGTTTCTTATAACCCAAGACTACTTCTACGTGTCAACTCGAACAGGAGATAAAATGAGTAAAGTGAAAATAACAGCAATATTTCGCATTTACTTTATGTACAGAAAATCGAGAATGTCTATAGACTTGAAAGTCAACTAGGTCTTATTGAACCCTCTCGTCCACGAGCCCTCACATGAGACTTGAACCCAGGACCGTTAAAATTGATAAGTTTACAGTAAATAGGACACCACATACACAAATAGGATTTTATATATATGATGATTTTGATAAGTATCAAGTTAGTAATTGATATATTCAAACTACAAACTATAATGGTTCTCTGTCTATGGGCATCATTGAAATCAAACGTTAAAGTCAGTCAATAAATCAGTTATAAACAAAGAATGAACGAATATGGAAGACTTGTACACACATAATGTTGAGAAGCCTCGTACTACGACAAAAAGAAACTTTCCAACGGTACCGATCTGTGACGAATACAACCTGTAAATTAAACAAATCTCAAAAGGCATGCTACAACTTTAAAAAAAAACCTCTGAAATGAAAGGATGAATTCACAGCATTAAAAATTACTAAATCAGAGTTCAAAGAGAAGAAAAACAATCAATGAATTGATACAACGACTAGGATCAACTTTCAATGATTCTATAATGATCATCTTTCGATCACTAATAACGACTGCTTCGTTTTTTAACCTTTCATATCACATTAGTTAACAAGTACTAGTGATATTTATTCAGATAATATTATCAAACATGAGATGATAATAAACAGTAAATACTAACTGTATAACCATTGTGATCAGTATAGAATAAATCCAATAAGTATAGAATAACTTACTTTAGCTAATGCAAGAATAAGCCATAATCTCATACGTATAAGCATTTCTTCATTTTCTGTTGGAGTATTATCAAATAATTGTGTTTGTACAATTGGTAAGAAATTTTGTTTTAAATAAACATCTTGAAAAAATGGATCAGGCTACAAATCATACAAAATGAAGAAATCAGTAAAAGAAAATAGACAATTTGTGAAAACAATTTTTCAATACAAATACAAATATATTTTTGATTGAGATCATGAACTAATTGATTTTAAACCACCATTGAAAACCTAGATGGCCGTTTCGTCCTATTGTGAGACTCCTCAGCAGTGCGCATCTACGATCCCGCTCGTGGGATTCGAACCCAGGGCCTTCAGTTTCGCGTATATATATATATATATATATCGGTCAATGAGACTGAAAAGAATAAGGGATGTATAGTTATCACTATAGGGTTTTGAAGATTGTTGAGTTTTCTTATTGAGATCATAAATCGAGCCATCCATTGCTTACAAGTTTCCCATGATGGTCTAATATTGATCAAATGTATAGTCTTTTAACGATTCTCAATTAACCTAGTGTATAATTCTTAGAAAGGATGAATTCACAGGGTTTTTTTAAAAAAAATAGTTCAAAACTCAAGATCAAAGAATGGAAATAAGCTGAACGTATTTGAGTTATTGAGAATAATTATGATTAGTGTCAATCAATGTCTTCAACCACTGATAGCCTTTATGATTTAGACTCTAACCAAGTAGTTTAAATCTAGTCATATGGATCAGTTCAATAATGAATGATTTCATGAACTAATAGTGTATCTTGGTTTAACTTTCTGTGTACATGAATTAAACTTGAAATGAAAAACTTTTCCTCTTTCGAGAGTTCAATTGTGCACGTTTTAAGGAATCAAGCTAAAATATCAATATCATATGAATTCAATGCGCCAGATATAGTCACAACAACAGATATTTGTATAAAAGCGCATATCATCTCATCCACATAATTGTAAAATGTTATTATTATTATTATTATTATTATTATTATTATTATTATTATTATTATTATATAAAGAAACCAAAATTTGATGTCCTTGTACTAACCTCTTCAGATTCATCTTTTTCCAACATTTTAGCTAATGCAAACGCTGTGATTGTTCTAGTAAGAGGCTGTGAGTTGGTTAAAATAATGTATAGAAATAAAAAATAGGTTAGGGTATAGAGAGTAATGGGAAAAAAAGATAACGCGATATTATGAATAGGCCTGACGGTGTTAAAAAAATACTTAAGAATAAACAATGAAGAGATCAGACCACTCCTATTCTGTACTTGGATTGCTCGGAGTTCACTCTTCGAGACTTGAGAAGACTGCGACGAGCTGTCCGATGTGTATACTTATGTGTACGAATCGCATGGATCTCGACTTGTTTAGTTTCGTATTTAAGTAACGTAAACTAAAGAAATATCTGTCGTATGTCTAACAAAATCAACCCCCTAAACCGTCAGATTGAAGTTATAAAAAAAAGATATACCAGAAAATACTAGGGAGAGGTGACTACCAACCCTCCTGAGAGAGTGCTTGTGCTTATATTTATGTCATAAAGTGCATGGATCAGTCTTTGTACCGATGGTATGGATGTAATGCATGAGAGAGTCAATTGTAGCACATACGTTCAAAGGGAGTGGAGACCATCTACCCTCCCACATAAGTGAATATACCTATATGTATGCTATGGAATGTATGAGTAAAAACTACTGTTACCGGTGTTCATGTAGCGGATGTTTGCTCACATGGTATGTATAACTATGTGTATATCAATGGATGCATGAGTGAAAACTTATATGTGACGCCCGCAAACCACGACCAGGAGATTCCGACGATTTCCCCATACAATCACATTCACGTAGTAGATTCGTAAGCCTCGATAAGCGGATTATAATCCAGATAAACGTATAGACCTAAGGCTTCATCAACTTCAAATAGTTGAAACACCGCAAGAACAAATCCTAAGAGAAACAATCAGATCAGAATTTCATTGCCGCACGGAGTGACCAAACAATGAAACCAATTTTTGATATTTTATTTGAAAGTCTACATACCATGGATTCTGAAGTGGTAGTCATAATAAGCTTATAATCATGAAGGAACACGGACACTTCCAAGAAGCTATCAGGAACAATGAACAAAAATAAATTGATCTTATCCACTTTCCTAATCTTAATTCATTTTATTTTGAAGAATAATTCAAATGGATATGAATTAGATGGAAAACAAATTTCTTAAACCAGCTCGAATGAATTTTACATCGAATAATAATTAGAATCAACCTATTTATCCATTCAGATATTATGACACCAACTTACACAGTAATTATATAATATTTAATGATACTAACATTTGGTTGTTGTCTAGACTGAATTCGATCGAATAGAGTGAAAATTTAGTTAATAGTCAAATACACTAATCATTTAAACTTGATTATTTCATTAAAACACCGACAAAGTCGATAAATAAATTAAAAAAAACAAAGCGTTTCTTACATAGATGAGAAAGAACTGTGCACAGTGTGTACAGATTGGACAAATTGAAGCAAACAATTTAGTTTCTATCTTTTTTTTATAAAAAAAAACGATTTTGAAAGAGGATCAGATTCAATGATCTTATACATATTCAGTAAAGACTACAAATAGTAGAGTTGAGTGATGTTCAGATTAGGAAACAATAGTGTAGTGTCAGTTATTATGCCAAGCCCATATACCTTATTCTAGCTTCCGGATATCCCATTTTATTTATTCTACTCGAGCCATACTTTGACCTTGTTATTTATTCGCTTATCAATCTAGACTGTTTTTATATGAGCGTATATGTGTGTCCCCTTCTTATTCCATTAATCACATGTCTGTAGCTTTATTTTGTCTGACTATAAATATTGAGTAACGCTTGACAAAGATGGAGTTGGCTTCCCAGCCATCTTCCATACGTGTCAAAATTGCTTTGTTATGGCTCTCGCTCGCTTGCTTGCCTTTCAGCACAACTCTTCTATGCTTGTTTAACGCATCTGTACATTTGGATATATGTGTGTGGTCTCGTAATAAACGTAATCAACACTTCGTATTTGTCTTCTGATTAATATACCATTGGGACGTTATATAGAACGGTTATCAAGACGAGCTGTATACGAAGTTTAAGGATTATATCGAATACCGGCCACCACAATAGCAACAATATAGATACCTCATCTATTCATTATGTACAAAGATTAGATGGAACCGTGAAACATTTTGATCAGTCGACTGGTATAATACTGGTTAATCACTGTGACACGAAACGGATGATAGCTTCTAACCCTGAAATAATCAGTAAAGACCTCAGTGTTCAATAACGATGTTGGGAACAGTACTGTCAAACATTTTCCCGTCTATTTATTGAATGATTGCAGGATATTAGCATGGAAATTTCACTGGAGATTTCATTTTCGGAACCCTATTCCAATAGTCGAGATCATTAGTCAATTGTAGCTAGACCACCATGGGAAACCTGGAAGCAATAGACGGCCGACTCGTCCTATTGTGAGACTCCTTAACAGTGCGCATCCACGATACCGACACGCGGGATTCAAACCCAGGACCTATCAGTCTCGCGTGAGAACGATTAATCTCCAAACCACTAAGGCGGTCGGCATCCAACAGTGTTAATGTCAATTCAACTAATCCACGAAATTGAGCGACACATCCACCATTGTCATCAGTGAGTTACTATCTCCACTGGTCACTGCTACTCACTTGAGCTCCAGGATATACATCCTGAAGGCTCAGTGGTCTAGTGGTTAAGCGCTTGCGCGAGAGCCTGATAGGTCCTGGGTTCAAATCTCGCTTGGCGGGTTCGTGGACGCGCACTGCTGAGGAGTCCCACAATAGGACAAAACGGCCGTCTAGTGTTTATAGGTTTCTCATAGTGATCTAGCTTCAATGGACTAATGATCTCAACTATTGAAATTACTACAATCTCCACAAAACCCCTTCTAGAACCCTATTCCTTTACAATATTTGTGTTTTCCATCCAGTGTTTTTATAGTAGACAGTTTGGTACAGCTCCAGAGGCTTGAAATGAAATCTTAGGTGAATATACAACACTCATTTACTAAACGAACGGGAAAATAGCTTTAAGTGTTACGCGCACAACAATACATACATTAACACATCTGCTTTATTCAACACAATGTATGACAAGGTGTATGATAAAAGCATAACTGTGGAACGCGGAGATTGATTGGCTCCACAGACTCTACAGATAACAGAAATAAAGGAAAGAGTGGGGTGATAAATTCAACTTAATTATAATGGAATTCAGCGTTATTTGATCAATGTAAAACAAATATGAACAGACGAACATGACTTACCGAAAGATTTTCAGTATCACTTAAACAAGCGATGAAATATTTATAACCGAAATCACGAACTGAATCATTTCGACCGAATTCAGTCTAGGAAAATGAAGAAATATTGAAAAGAGAAAAACATTACACAAACATGGAGAGAACACGTGAATACAGATGTAAAGTACTTACTTAGTTACGCCCGTTACCCTCATAAGGCGCTCACCACCATTCTCCACCCAACTCTGTTCGAGGCAATTCTTTCCTGTTGCCATTCATGCTTTTGATGTCTGTCTTTAATTCCCTGTTCAGTGTGTTCCTTGATCTTTCTCTTTAATGTTTCCATTCAGCATTCCAAGTTAGTACTTGCTTCGTGATGCCGTTTGGTGATTTCCGCAATGTATGTTCTATCCACTTTCAGTCTTTTCCTAATTCCCTCTTCAGACAGAAGCTGGTTTGTTCTCGTCCATAGTAGTCTGTTGTTGATGCTGTCCGTTCGACTGACATTCAGTATCTTGTGTAGATAACTGTTTATAAATACATGTGCCTTTTTGCTGACGGTTGTAGTAGTTCTCAAGTTTCAGCTCTGTACAGTAGAACCGTCATGACGCTCGTATTGAAGATTCTCACTTTAATGTAAGCTTACCGCTGTTTTGAGTTCCATATGTTATCCAACTGTAGAAATACTGTCCTTGTTTTGCCAGCTCTCGCCTTTACCGATGTAAGGTACCAAGTCGATTGATGATAAGCTTAAGAATTTTCACCGACTAAAATGATTGGCAAGTACTACGTATGACCAACCACCACATAACTCGACACGGAACACCATCTGGCGTTGGAAATGGTTAAAGGAAGGATGGTAGCTATTCGTGAACTTCACATCAATCGCTCAAATCATTGTTTCTCGGTTCGAGTCTCACTGGTAACCATAGCTTGGGGTCTACGCGATGTCGGTAATCACTGTTTGGAAACTTTAAGTGTCATAGTTCGAAATCGTTCACGATAGTATGTGTGCATTTGTCCTTTATCTTCCTCTCGCTCTTGAGTTCCAGTGTTACTTCGTATATATCTTTCTACTCGGTGTTTTCAAACCATATTCTCCATGTCCAATGTCTCTCATATCATTTTTATTACAATTATTTCGATTATTTTGCTTATCATTTTGTTGATTTAATCTCGTCATGTGCTAATGTAGTGTGATCAATGCACATCCATACGAGGCTCTATGTTAATGATAACTAACTGACTGACTAGACAGATAAAAGGAGACTTCTCAGTTATTGTCACATAGGTCATTCAACTTAGTGTCTTGAGATGTTCAGACGCATAATCAGGTATAGGGATCAATGGTAATGCTAATATAGCTTCTTTATTAAATTGATCAACTAGAATGAATATACCATACTTTATTTTGGGCAGACATTCCTTCCCTTCTGAAATACTAATCATATTCATGAATAATTACTGAATTAAGATGAGTCACACCTCTTCTCAATATTACGTGGTGAATAATTTCTTGATGCCCTAATTGTACTAAACTGATTATTAAAACTGCATTACATTTTAAAATTAGTCAACCCACTGAGTGAAACAAAAATGAATTCAGTCATAAGTAAAGTACAAATTCCCCAAATGCCCTGGTACGGCACAGGGTGGGGAGAGTCCGCTCACCCTCTCGAAATGCTCTCACATGGACACGTGTATAAAGCCTCTGACATGGAAGTCTTACTCACTGTCTTCTCGTGGCATTACTGTTGTTTACGAAATTGAGAGGACGAAAAGCGAACGTCCGGCGCTTTAACCGGGTTGGTGGACATGGAGAGTCCACCTAGGGAGTTGGAAAACTCTCATCCCAAACCAATGGTGTACATGGGCTCCAGTATACTAAAGCAATAAATGGAGTATGAACCAATTGTTGGTCACCGGCTACCATGGGACTGCATCTCCTTACGATGCTCCACTGCCTTGTGGATCAGACTTTCAGGTCAAAGGCTCCGAGTGTGTCCCTCTAAGAAAACCACCTGCTTAGGTTTGGGCAACCGAGCAGTACCACAGCCCTCACACATATCAAATGAGATTTGTGTGGCGCATATGTCTTTGGTGCTCCTTGTACCAATATCTATGGGTTTAAATAATAAATAAAAACAACCTGACACAAATGTTTGCTGGTCCAAGTTACGGTATCACGTCAGTATAACCAGATAAATGAATAAATAAATACAGAAATCGAAATAATGAACAGTAAAATGATAATAACCGCCTCTGCAACTCTTCTACGGTTATTTCCGGTCATAAGGCCAGGTAAAAGATAAGGATGTTCTATGCTTCTCCACAAGGGTTACACCAGGGGTAGTTAAGAAATGATAATTTAAATAATCATTTAAATTCATTTGTGTCGGTTGTTGGAATCTTCTGGATGATGTTTAGGACTGCGCAACAACGTGTAGTGATGAATGAATTTAGCTTGAAAATACAGGGGACTCTATTTGATTAGTTCAGCCATACAATTTACTGCCACCGTGTTTAGGTTTACCCCATACAAACAACCTACAGAGACAATTAAGCATTTGATACGTTCAATACTGTCACTTATGACTCTACGGGTGCAAAAAAGAAATAATTTTTTCGCTATCGTTTATTACATTTTCAGAAATATAGGAAAGTATTTCTATTGTTCATTATGCATGGCATGGCAAACCCCTATAGTCGCGTTCTCGATGCTGATTGGCTCGTGTCTCTTGAGTAAAATTTTACCGATCATGTTTATCTCAACGACCGACTATCCATTTGAACTACAAATTATAATTGACGAAATAGTGAAACGTTAATGATAGTTTTTTCGTCCTCTCAATTTCGTAAAACACCCCCCGCCGCGAGAAGACAGAGAGAATAGGACATCTCTGACAGTGGTTGTATACGCGTGGCTTGAAAACTTAACGAAGATATTTTTGAAAACAACGAACCTCTCTAATGGAATGTAACAATTTCTGAAAAACATTCACTAGAGCTATATAAAATCTTTTCATCATTTTCAAACTGCCTTGATTAACTAAACAAAGAAAAAAAACAATTTTTTACTCACTTGTGCACTGGCAATAATTTTGCCCCAAATAAATACCAAATATGGTTTCACTTCTGAAACTGGTGAATGAAATAAACGAACAATGTAAGGAAATATTCCAACTGTTAAACAATGCGCTACTGCCCATGGTCCTAAGTCAAGAAATTCACTGAGTAATTGCATTGCACGTATTCGATGACTTTGACTTAGTAAAATCTATAAACAAAAATAACGGAAATAAAAACATATTTGATGAATAAGAGAAAAACATAAGCTAAGAATAATACATTGACACTTGGACGATAGAATTTAAACAGCAACAAAACTCAACAATCAAAAATGTAAATATATGAGGGGAATTGATCATGACTTGAATAGATCAGTGGCAGTGACGGTGTGACGACAGAGACCAAGTAAAACTATACATACACTTTGTTGACATGTGTATCGTCAACTGACAAATAAACCTAGGTCCAGGAAGGTTTCCAGATGATTACTTTTGATTGATAGGAAAAAACTAGGTGTAAACTAGGTAAAAACTATTTTGTTCGAACAATCATCGTAATCTATAAATGACTACTCTTAATGATGTGGTAACTTTTAATTGTGACAAGGTGTGAGACATTGAACACAGATTTCAGATTATTTGGGACTCGGTAGTTAAGTGTGTTTGCATCTCAGCTATGGTATTGACGCTGAGATTTGAACTCACTGTTCAATGTGTTATTGAAAAAGCTAATAAATCCATGTGGCAACGGGAATGAAGTTACTTGTAAGGCTTAGTAATTTTTATTGACGGTTATTAAGGAGAGTAATTTGAAATCAGTGGTTTAAATGATAATCGAGAGAGCGTTTGAGGCGAATGATACTAGGTTTCAGTCTTGGTATGAACATCAATATTACAGTCCTTGTGCACATTCAACTAGCGAAATAACATCCTTGAATTACAACGGCAGTCGACACCCAACTAAGATTGTACTTTTTTGTAACTTGTATAGCGAAAGTTCGTAAACTTTTCATAAACGCGCCTGAATAGGTTGTGCGATTAATAGACATGATAATGTTTTAAAACGTACAAAAACAGATAACTTGTTGAAATATTAGATGGCAGGAATAAGGAACCCAGATATTAGAAAATCTGCATCGATTAAGGCTAAATGAATCATAGTTCCCGCTGTCACGGGTAAATCACTGCACATCCAAGTACAGTAAATAATAAACATATGCGTAATCAATAAATGAATGATTCTATATTCAATATTCACTCTCTTTACGCGGAGTTGGGAAATACCAACCTCAAACCAATGGGGTATATGGGTCGCAGAAACCTATGGGAATGAAATAGCATATGAATCTATCTTGGTCATTATATACGATGAGACTGTATCGCCTGATGTTGCTTGCGATGCATTGTAAATTAGACTTTTAGATCAAAAGCTCGGGAACTGGTCACAAAAAACCACCTGTATCAATTTGGACCTTTAAATGCTATCCAGACCAGACCCAAATATGACGACGAGGATTATCCCTGAAGAGAGTAATATCTATGACAGAGGAAGCTTGATATAGTTGACTTGAAAAAACAATTATCTAAAAACTATTATTTATAATCACATGTGTAAGAATTTACAGCTTCAATTGGTAATTAACTAACGTAAACACACGTAAACACATTATTAATAACGATTCAACTCATTCGCCGAGCACAACAGGCATTCATACATTCAACTTTCAGTAACTCATTGACAAGGAATTAATGATACTAGCGCCGGTCACGGTTCAAACAAAACGTTTGTTTATCAACAAGCTGTTATCGAGTACTTTTTATGATGCGCAAGTGGTTGGAAAGATATTTCTCTATGAGATACTTAGAAGTGTGACCACAAATGTCAAAAACAACTGATTAGGACTGGTCGAGAACTGGCTTTTTGGAGAGTTTTCGATATGTTAACGCACAATACTCACAAAGTTATAGCGATAAAAATCAGTAGGGCAAAGGGAGGTGTGCTATTTTTTATTCGATCTTTTTACCAACACTTTTTTCCGTTACAGGGAAGCAACATCGCTCAACATGATGATGGTTGTTTGAATGAAACACCTAAATATAGTCAGACCTCAGTACAGTCAGTAGCACAACTTCACTCTATGGCGTTAAGTTGGTGCTTATAGTTATACAGTTCTAGAAGTTGACAATTGAAAGCCAAATTTACGTTAAATACACAGAATCACGTAAAAATCCCTCTAAAATATCAATCAAATCAGATGTAAACTCTTGATAGACCGTTTAAAATGTACACACTAGTAAGGGTCAATAAAGCCAGAACAACAATCGTAGCAAAATAGACAGAACTGTCTAAAAAAAAATACATAATTGTTTCATCTCTCACTAACCTGTAATAAAATTGGTAATTGCGTAGCTACAGGACGTCGTTCATCAGCCGTTTGTAACCAGATTTTGAATGCAGTCATTTGACTAGTGAAAAATGACGATGGACCACTTCCACCTATCACTGATCCAGAAAAAACTGTAGCAGTCGTGGTGGTAGCAGTAGTGGCAGCTGTAGTAGAAGCCGTCGACACCGTGGGACTGACGAATTGATTAGTCATTGACTGTTGACAATGAGACAATTGTGGTAACGTAGATGATGTATTCATTCGTTGGTTAGATGACGGTGGTGGTAATAATAACGTGTCGGAATAATAATTCAACTGAGATTTATTTGGATCCGGGTAATGTTCATTTTGATAATTAACATTATTTGGTAGAATAACTCTATTGTTACAATGATCATTTGCATTTGGTAATTTTGTACAAGTTCTAGAGTCAAAATACTGTTTGATATGTTTGGTCTGTGCGGATGAAACTGTAGTTGTTGTTATTGGTCCTCCTAGTTGTTGGCTTACTGTCGCTGATTTATTGCTGGAGTGATTGCTAATAACTCGATGCCGACAGGCTCCAGTCACTTTCTGAATATCACCACTATTTGGTAACAGGTACAACTTTTCATAACCATGTGGATACTGTGTGTGAATCGGTGGTTGACGAGGTTTCATTGGAGTGGAAATACGTGAGTTTCCAGAATTTTTAGAATTTTCAGCCTGAATTTCAAAAAAAATGCATACGAAAGGGAAGGATTGAGAGTTTTCGTCAGAAAACATGGATCGAGACATTGCAACAAGTTAGAAAGAAATAGAGTTGGACAGACAGGGGACGACGGGGACAATAAAAGGTTTAGAATTATAGATCTATTAGTAGATTATTTCCCGCCTTCCTTTTCAGCAATAATCCATAGAACGTAAACTGATCAGCAACCAACTTCGACACATATTTCACAAAGTTGCAATGATGAGACACATTCAGTGGAGTTCAGCCACGTGGATGTGAGGTAATTATCCACCAATAACACGAAAGATGACTACAATATTGCGAAACGACTGCAGTTACATACTTAAACTATGTGATGCTAGATAAATGGTCAAAAAGTTGAATGGTTAACGCAAGACCTGAAAGGTTCTGAGTTTAATCCCGAGTAGGTTAACGGATGCTCACTGTTGAACAGCCCCATGATGTGATGAAATTTCTGTATATCACTTCTTGGTCGTCAATAGCTAAGGTCAATCCGGAATATATACCATTAAATTTAACAGTGGTAATATTTTCATTGTACTTTACAAAGAATAAAGAATATCAATAAAACAAATACACCGGTACGGCTGAGAGTGGGAAGAGTCCGTTGATGGATATGGCCGACACATCTATGGGAGTTAGGAAACATTCATTGCAAACCAGTGGTTTACATGAGTTACAGGATCCTGAGGGAACAAACAGAGTATGGACCTCATGTTTGTTACTTGTTACCATGGAATGTCCGGCGCTTTAACCGGGTTGATGGACACGGATTCTCTACCTGGGGGAGTTGGAAAACCCTCATTCCAAACCGATGGTGCACATGGGCTCCAGTATCCTAAAGGAACAAATGGAGTGTGAACCAATCGTTGGTCACCGGCTACCATAGGACTGCATCTCCTTACGTTGCTCCACTGTCTTGTGGATCAGAGCTTGATGTCGAAGGCTCCGGATGTGGCCCCTAAGAAAACCACCTGCTTCAGTTTGGGCACCTGGGCAGTACCACAGCCCTCACACATCAAATGAGATTTGTGTGGCGCATATGTCTTTGGTGCCTCCTTGTGCCAATATCTATGTATTAAAGTAAATAAATAATAATAATAAAAGCTACCGTGGAAACACATCCCCTAAATTCGCTCCACTACCTTGTGGATCACACCTCTAGGTAAAGGCTCGAGGAGTTGCCCCCTAGGAAAACCAGCTGCTCCGATTTTGGTACCTAGGCAGTATTCCAGCCTTACACACATTTAATGATTTATTGTGTGACCTATACATATTTTAGTGGCTCTATGTATCAATGTTCACGTGTTTAGATAAATACAAATCAAAACAAAATGAACTTACTTGTTTCATTGATGATAGGTCATTGTTTAATTTACATTTTATTGCAGAAACTACTACACTATTCTCTATATCTTGTTGTTTTAGTTCATTATTTTGTACATGAACATGTGATTGTTTCTGTGTTGATTATTAGTTTCACTTAGTACTATACCTTTACAAGTCATATTCATCAATTTAGTAGATTCTGTTAATTTGATTAATGTCGCCTTTTCAGTAGTTACAGTACCATCATGATTATTATTTTTCAAGTTTAATGGTGTTTGTTGATGTTCTACTACTACTCCTGGTGGTAAGTGTTGACATCGATTAGTAGTATTATTCTCATCATATGTGTTCATGTTTACTTGTTCATGTGTTAATTTCGAATGAGGTTGTTGATGTTGTTGTTGACGTGTAATTTGTGGTTGTGAATCATGCTGATCATTACAATTTGTATGTGTATATAAATCAGAACAGGATATACTATGAGAAAGTTGTTTATCATGCTTTTTATTCATCAATTTACTATTACCAATACCACTACAAAGGTTAGTTCTATTGTCAACAATTCCTGTTGAACCGATGATATTTGGAACATTTAAAGTAGTTTTATTACATTTGTATTGTTCCGCCCTATTATCTTCTTCCTCTTCGTCACCACCACCATCATCGTCCTCTTCATCATCATCATCATCGTCTTCCTCGTCAACATCAATGTCATCATCATCGTCGTCGTCATCTGTTTCAGAATTGTCTGTCGAATCATCGTCATCACCAACATCATCATCATCATCGTTACCATTATTCTCATGACAGATTTTTTCTTGACTGGTTTCATTATTCTAGTTTATAGAAAGAATCAAATAATTAAGTGAGGAATTCAAATGAAAATGACTTTGATTTAAAAATCTAATGTTTGAATATGAGTATTAAGATCTCTAAAATGAGGATTACCAGTGATACTCTGAATGGATAGGACAAGAAAGAAGTTCGAAAAAAATAGACAATAGATGATCTTTGAGCTATATCGCAAATTTATAGAAGTTGACACTATGAAATTGGACAAAGATTCAGTAATCCTAATGGTGAAGCGTTTACCATGAAATCTAAAGGTTCTAAGTTTGATCAGAGCTATGGTTGTGAGTGTGCACTGGTGAGTAGTTCCATACTGGTACTAAACAGTTATCTACGCCTTCATCGTCTTTAATGGTATCGCAAAACAGATCAATCTGTGACAGATACATCCTATAAATTATGTATTTTAAACGATTATATCCAATCAGATAAGAAGCTCTGAATGACTAAAGTTTCGCAATATCACAATGATTTCTTCAAGAAATCGATCCTCTATCACCCAGTATTAATTCAGAGGCAGTATAATTATCGATTCACTTTCAATCAACTAACATAGCAAATACATACATAATCCCGAATCATTAATACGAAATCAGTGTTGATGATTAGAAAGAATTCAATTGACACGAATTATCAATATGAATAACTTTGAAATGTGGCTTAGTGGTTAAATAGTTCAGCTCTAAACCACTAAGTCATAAGTAAGAGTCTCACTCGATATAATTTCGTTGAACGGCTGAATACATGCATAGAGTATGGCTCGAAGTTAAGCATAGAAATTTATACCTGATAAAAAAGACTAACAAAACTTTTTTAAAGATGGACTCATGCATTCACACACACGTACAAATGCACAAAAAATACCTGGTTATCATCGTGTTCAAAATATTTGACCTTGTCGTTCCGGCTAGATGAATCTTTTTGACGATGATCGTGATGAGTATTTGATGTGTTCTGTGCTGTTGTTGTTGTTGTTGTTGTTGTTGTTGTTTGTTGTTGTTGTTGTTGTTGTTGTTGTTGTTGTTGTTGTTGTTGTTGTTGTTGTTGAGAAGGATGAAAACCGCTCGGTATCGTTGTCTTCGAGATTTGGTTATCCGCTTGTTCAACTGACTTTTCTGTTTCATTTGTTATGGTATGGTGAACAATTGATGCAGAATCGTTATTGTTCATAGCAGTAGTAGTAGTAGTGAGAAATTTCGGTTCATTATCATTATTATCATCATTGGTAAAGTGGGATTCGTCATTAGTATTTTGATTAGTAAACTTAGTAATTTCTAAGTGATTCATCTGCTTCACTTTATGAAGAGTTGATTTTATATCAATCGAATCCTTATTACTATCATTAGTATCATTACTGATAAATTCAACAGTAGTATTGGTAGTAGGAGGATGATTATTTTGTTCTGAATCAATCAACATGGCTGTTAGCGGTTGCGACTGAAGCTTATCAGCATTACTATTATTATTATTATTATTATTATTATTATTATTATTATTAAATCCTGGAGGTGGGGCAACTAAATCCGAGCTCAATAGATTGAATACCTTTGATTTTGATACTAACTCAGAAGTTCGACTAGATGTATTAAAAGTGGCAGTAGTCACAGTATTAGTAGTAATAGTAGTAACAGTAACTGGATAATGTTGAGTTTGAAGACACTCCTATAAATAAAATATGATGCATATAATTTATTAAAGAAGATGCATTCAATTGATGAGATCAAAACAAAAATAAATACACACTGAAAATCTAAAATATGAAATATTTCTTTCCTATAGCATATCTAATCAATATTGCATATACTTAATAATAGGAGCAATAACAAAGGGTCAGTCAGTCAGTCAGTAACAACGTAGAACTTCGTACGTACGTACATCAGTTCGAGTTGCCACACCACATTAGCACAGAGATGCAGTTGTCGATTCAAATCCCGTAGTGGTAGAGGTAATAAGAGTATAAGCAGTAATCGGGAAGATTAGGGTTTGGAGATGTTATTTAAAGAGTATAATCCAGTGAAATAAATTTGGAAAGAGGAAAAAAAGGGACATGAAGAATTCAGAAGATTAGAATTTGGGAGAACACAGAGAGTGGATGCACCTGCGCCATTGCAAACGATTTTGAGCCATGTCATTCAGGGTCTCTAACCATCGGTTGCTATCATCTCGCGGTCCCCAACCAGGTAGTCTACACCTACCAACATGACTCAGTTCACTTGTCAGTGACTTCATGGACTTGTGCCATGTTTTGGTTTGGCCGCCCCTAGCTTTCTTCCAACCTACTCCTATACCACTGAACATAGCACGTCGAGGCAGTCGGTCGTTGGGCATACGTAACACGTGTCCCAGCCATCTCAACTGATGAAGTTTCACTACTTCATCAATTGATTTGCCATCCTTACCTAGTACCCGTTTCCTAACAACTGTGTTACTTACTCGATGGTCCCATGATATACGAGCAATGTTTCGAAGACACCTATGATCAAATACTAGTAACCTACGGATATCCTCTACTCTTACCGGCCATGTTTCACTGCCATAAAGTAGGACGGAACGAACTGCTGCGCAGTAAACACGTCCTTTGGTTGATAGACGGATATCTCGCCTACGCCATAAATGACGCAAGTTGGCAAAAGCTAGTCGAGCCTTCTGTATCCGTGCTGAGATTTCGTCACACACCAAACCACAAGGGCTGATGAGACTTCCAAGATAAGTGAAGCGGTCGACACACTCAACTACTTCACTCCCTATCACTAGTTCGGGTGTCGATGTAACCCAATCCTGAAGCAACATTTTGCATTTCGAGGGAGAGAATCGCATCCCGAACATGCTTGCATTGTTGCTTAGAGTGGTCAGAAGACTCTGCATTTTGTCAGCGTCTTCACCAAATAAAACTATGTCATCAGCATATTCTAAGTCAACAAGTGAACCTCCCGGTAGAAGTTCAACCCCTGGAAATTTAGATGAGGAGAGTGTTATCTCTAAAAGTACGTCGACCACAAAGTTGAACAAGAATGGGGAGAGTGGACAGCCCTGACGAACACCACTTGAGGTAATCAATTCTGATGACAGTTCGCCATAAGCTCTCACTCGACCAGTTGTGTTCGAGTAGAGAGCCTTTATAAGGTTAATGTACTTCTTTGGTACTCCTTTCAGTGACAAACACTGCCATAGAACCTCACGATCAACAGAGTCGAATGCCGCCTTAAGGTCGAGAAATACTACCATTGTGGGGCGTCTGAATGTGTGTCTGTGTTCTAGAACCTGACGTAGTGTGAATATCTGATCTATACAACCACGTCCAGGTCGAAAACCAGCCTGGTTTTCTCTAGTCTGCTCTTCACGAGCTTTGATTAGGCGTCGAAGTATTATTGAAGCTAATATTTTAGACACTATATTAGTCAAACTGATTCCTCTGTGATTGTCACAAGAGGACTTTTGTCCTTTCTTATAGACTGGCACAATCAGTGATTGAGACCAGTCAGATGGGATTACGTCCAGTTCCCAAATTCTACCTAAGACCTCGGTTAATCTCATTGCTAATACTGGACCACCATCCTTAAAAATCTCAGGAGTAAACCTGTCAGGGCCTGCTGCTCTCCCTCGTTTCAGATTTCCTATGGCTTTTTCAACTTCGTAAAGGGACGGAGGACCTACATTAACTTGCCATTCAGGTTGACTAACAAAGGGGGCAGAGAACATTAATAGAGAACACAACCCTTGTTTATAGGTAGCACACACTAGTACACAACACCCTACCATTTTACAGATTAAGCAGCCCGAAAGTCAAATGAACATTATCGAAGCATCCGACCTCACAATAAGTTGTAAGGTGAAAAATTCCAATAAATCTATGAGTACACAATGCTTTCTCCAATAAATACGCGAACTGATATACTAAGGTTTTTGGTTGTGGATATAAATGAGTAAATAAATAACCGCATTGTACCTTCACTCACCCTGGGCAGTGAGCAGAGAGAAGTAGTCGAGAAGTTCGTGTATCTGGGTAGCTTCATAACTTCTGATGGTGGCGTAAGTGATGAGATCGATTCACGTATAATGAAAGCCATAGCGGTTTATGCCAATCTGTGCCATCTTTGGCGCCTTCGTGATGTTAGTCTGACTGTAAAAGGTCAGATCTACAACGCGTCGGTGAGAGCAGTTCTGCTCTATGCTTGTGAAATATGGCCTCTCTGAGTTCAGGATGCTAGACGACTCTCTGTGTTTCATCATCGTTGTCTCCGAAGGATTGCTCACATCCAGTGGCAACACCATGTTAGTAATGCACAAGTTCGGTATCGTGTGTTCGGGCACAGAGACGATCATCCAATTCGTGTCACCATCTTGAAACATCGACTTCGGTGGCTTGAACATGTTCTCCGAATGTCGTCCCAGAGAATTCCACGTCGTGCATTGTTTGCCGGCGCTGGGACTGGCTGGAGAAAGCGGAGAGGTGGTCAGTGTATGACGTGGTTTCGTGGTATGAAAGAAAACTGTACATGACTGGCTTCTGTCCGACCTTCATGACTCCGTGGTTTGGGTCCTAGAGATGGTGTAAGACAGTGGCTCGAGACTTTATCAGATATGGCTCGGAATAGAAGCCAGTGGCGATCCTGCTGTAACTTTATTTTGCTTGTCGGGAGAACCTCGAAATATCCCTCGTCAAAGTCTCTAGAGGCCCAGAAACGTCGGGAAAGGTTTTATTCAATCAGAGTTGAATCGAGTCTTCAGAGAAATATTTGGAAAATTCAGAATCACGTGTTTCAGCTTTTATTAAATACTTACTTACGCTGCTACTATATTGGGTATGGTTCCAGAAATTTCCAGAAGCCTAGTATAATGCATAACTCTAGGAATGTTCTCGTTTTTTTTCTGTACATAAACAAACTTTGAAATAAAGCATTCGCTCACAATTCATATTTTTCTCCATTGTTCCACTTAACAGGTAGATGTAGTCGGGCTTATAGGAACCAACATTCTACGCGTGTCAGTAGCACGACTTATCACTACTCATCAACAAACTTAACCCACCTAAGATTATATTTTGTTCTCAAAATGTAAAACATCCTTAACACAAGGACAGGAATAGCATAACGCAGAGATAAACAAATGCAAGACAACAAGGAGTCTGATTTTTGAAGACTTTCAGAGATATTTTGAACAATGAAAACGGAGATAGGACAACAGAGGTGAAATTATACTTATAATGATAAAACAAACTAATGTTAGCCTAAATTATGTATTTATTAGACAAATTACCAGTTCAAAATAAATTGGCACTTTATGAAAATAAATACTTACAGGAGGCAATCCATACTGTAGTACATTAGCTGTAGAACGATCATTATTGTCACACTGAAGACAATCATGATTCAGTTGAGATTTCTTCTCATGAGTATCAATCAATTGGTTGGTTGGATGATTTCTCAAATGATCAGCTTTACCAACTGCTCTTGATTTTGTAACAGCTGTCGTTGTTGTTGTAGACACGAAAGTCGACGACACAGTCACATTGGACACCGTACTTGATGTCATGGTTGACGCAACATCACAACTCGTAATCAAGTCAGGATTAGTTGGATTCGTCAATGGTTGCTGTGAAATAGCGATATTATTGCCATCGTTATTATTATCACTATGTGACTTATTTGGTGGATATACGCAAACTGAAGGAACAGTTGATTTGACTGGTTTCAATGGTAATAACCCTGAGTGGATTCCTTGTGGAATTTCCTGTCGTTGATACTGTTGTTGTAATAGGTGAGTTTGTTGTTGTGTAGAAAAATGACGAGCACGATTTGTACACACATCCAATGGAATATTGCCAGTTGGACAAGGTGGCCCTGGTATACGATTATTATTACCATTATTATTATTATTATTATTATTATTATTATTATTACCATTGTTATTATTATTAGTAGTAGTGGTAGTAATTTTGTTTGAATTTGGATAATTGTTGTTGACTGTTTTCATTAATAGTCCACCATTATTATTATTGACAACCGTATTTGAGTTGGGAATTATTATTGGCAATAATTTCTCAGTGTATAGGCTACCACCTTCAATGATTTTTAACATTTTTGGTAGATAATGTATCACACGATCTACAGTATGATCCCATGCATCCCTTTTTTATTTCGGATACAAATAGAATAACACGCAGACACATGTACAGAAAGAAAGGGGGAATAAATACAGTACAAAACAAAGATCGAGTTAACAACACATGGATACACAAAGAAAAACGAAAGATTAAATACAGTAGAAACGAAAAATTGTACCTCTCAGATTTAAACTAATGAATAAGGAAAAAGTGTAGTTTAGTCATCACTGACTAGTACTTCTTATTCAGTATAGTTTTCTCATCATAGAGGTAGGTAAAATTAAAACGGGAAATAAATAAAATGGAGCCAATCGATAAGAGGCTTTCTTTGACACAGAAATCTCGTCCCAATTAGTACTACTCGTTAGTAATACATGTCATCCTCAGAACGATATTCAAACTTTACATTAACGAGTATCTACTAATCCAAAATATTTAAATTATGACTATCCCACGAAGGCAGGATCATTATCCACTAAGAATCAAGATGTGAGTCACTAGCACGAACCTATGGACTACTAATAACGGCCGCCTTCAATCCCCTAACCATCCGCATAGAAAGCATCAGATTATAGAATCAATTAGGCTGACGACCGCATCTCAACTTCATAAAAATAATTTTAGCTGGGTTGAATGCCAACTCTCAGGTACTATCGTATTATATTTGCTGTTACGCTAGAAGACCTAGGTTCCAATCCCTAGGAAGAGATAGTGAATTGAGATGTTAGGAATCTTTTCGCAAGAAACCGAAGCCACGATCATAATGTTCAGTGATGAGAATATTATCTTCATACTAATATTGATTTGAATTTTAACGATCCATCTTGTTTTAAACTTCAATCAATTCAAGATTATTTCACAACGGTCATTTACCAGTAATGTGGAAACTGCTTAATTTAACACGCTTAATACGGCTGAACTTCAGTAATCATGATGTCTTACTACAACATTTTCGAATTTTCAAAGACTAGTTTGATTTTCACCAAAAGACCTGAAAATAAAAAACGATTTTAAATGGCTAAACACGTAACGAAAAACAAATCTAACTATACCACTCACTAGTAGTATATTTTTAAGGTTTTAATAGGGGAGTGAATGAAGGTCTAGTTGCTCATTAATAATTGTGTTGTATAATGCAAATAATTCACTGGGAGCGGATAATTGATACCATTTAACCACCATTAAATAATAACCGGTTAATCAAACTCCCGACAACCATCAGTATTTAGATCTCATTCAGCACAAAAAGGATCCAAATTTATTCAACTGACAACACAGTTCTATTCATAGTGTTAAATATGATTAAAGAAAAGAAAATAACAACAACTAATACTAGCACTGTTATCAATACTTACCACATACTATGCTGATAAGTTGGTAATAACAGAGGAGCTGACACTGGATGACATCCATAATATTTCATAATACGTTCAGCCAATAAGAAATTTCTAAATAAACTAGCAATTAATAAATCTTGACGAAATAATTTTTGAAATATATCCAATGGAAAACTACACCATGCTATTGTATCAGTTACTGCAGTGAATATCCAATTAATTTCACCAAGTAATGACATACGATTTGAATGAGAGCCAGGTATACGATCTAATAAAGCTTCGTCTAGGTAGCCTGTATACAATTATTGGTGATAACGTGATCGAAAAGTTACGAGGAAAAAAACATTAAGGCTAAAAGAATTTATGATTTAAAATAACCAAATAATTTGATTAATCATAGTCAATAAGTTAGTTGACCCGAGATAAAGAAAACCATACCCTTTTTGCGGATCGCAGTCTCGCCGGTCATAAGCCCCCAAATACCCTGGTACCGTTGAGGGTGAAGAGATCCCGCCCACCTCTCGAAATGCTCTCATATGGCCACGCGTATACAGCCACTGTCAGGGAGGTCCTACTCACTGCCTTCTCGAGGCAGAATTGTGGTTCACGAAATTGACAGGACGAAAAGCGAATATCTCATGCGTTTATCGGGTTGGTGGACACCTAGAGGAGTAAGAAAACCCTGTTTCCAAACCAATGATGCACATGAGCTCCAGGATCCTGAGAGAATAAATGGCGTATGAACCTATTGTCGGTGACCGGCTACCATGGGATTGCATCTCCTAACGTTGCTCCATCGCTTTATGGATCACACCATTAGGTCGAAGGCTCCGAGCGTGGCTCCCTAAGAAAACCACCTGCTTCAGTTTGGGCACCCGGGCAGTATCACAGCCCTCACACAAATCAATGATAACTACTACTGGACCGATTGTTGTTGTGTGGTGCATATATATTTGGTGCCCCCTTGTACCAATATTTATGTGTTCAAATAAATAAATAGGTAAGACCTTTAAAAAGTACCGGAGTTATTACATTCACAACCTATTCTATGTATAGTTGTCCTCTAGGCACTGTTATCATGTTCCTAAGTTTAAATGACCACCCTTAACCTAGTATTCTCTTTAGGCCACAGTATAGATTATTGGAAAGTAACAACGTCCCTCATATCGCTAACAGCCACCAAGATCATCTCGTTTGTAATCAAAGCTTCATCTTCATTATCATTGACTGATGTAAAATTTGGTAAAAATCTATGCCATTTGTTAACTCCATAACTAACAGGACAATCGTTTGTATTCATAATCATCGTCTACCCCGATACGGTAATGTTGGCTGAGATGGGAATGCGTTGGAAAAAGGTTAAAGAAATTAAACCAACACACGACATAATTTCATGAAACCACTGGCTATTGGTTTATGTTGGAAGATGTAGACCAATTGGTTGATATCCGCGATATAAATACCATATTATTAGTTCGAGATGTTAAGTGAGATGGTTCATAATGGATCACAAATGGGACAGATGCACTCATTATCTTACTCAAGGTCACGAGTTCTAATATTCTTTCGTTTATGACTTTCATCATTTTTTCGACCTACAATATCAAGTTTAAATCTTCCCCACTACTATGGCGGCTAAATTATTTCGATTCTTTTGTTATTCATCTACCGAAATTCATCTCATGATAATGTAGCATGAAAACTTAGCCTAATGCATATATCTGCCACTCTCTAACTTGATCGCGACTGACTGAGCATCAATGTGTGTACTTCCAACCAAGTTGGTTCACATACCTCAATGTGGTTCAGATCAACAATCACAACAACTTCACGTCTTGATCTGGAACACACAGTAGCTTTTTCTTAATCTACTTTTACACTAATAGAAAACCCATTTGAAATAACGTGTTCACGTTAATTCCATTTGTCTAACATCAATACCCACCTCTTAAGAAAAAGAAAAAGAGAATAAGATTTACCGGGAAAATATTCTTGATGACGTAACCAGTGCCAACGAAGTGCCATACGGATTGGTGTAGTTAAGCAAGCAGTAAATAAATCTGCTGGAAGATTTGGATTCTGTGGTAAATCTTCATCTTTACTACATGCAGCCAACATAAATGTATTTTCCATACTGACAACATGAGCAGTGGAGGATGATGGTAATGTGGCCTAAAGATATAAATAAGTTAGAATGGGTGTTTGTGGAGATTGTGATAATTTTTTCGAATCTTTTAATAGTTGAATTCATGAGTCGATTTCAGCTAGACCACCACCTTCTAAAACCTGGAATCATTGTACGGTCGTTTCGTCCTAGTATGGGACTTCTCAGCAGTGCGCATCCAAGATCCCGCATGAGGGACCCCAACCCAGGAACTTCGAGTCCCGCATGGTAGATCTTGGATGCGCACTGCTGAGAAGTCTCATGCTAGAACGAAACGACCGTACAGTGCTTCCAGGTTTTAGAAGGTGGTGGTCTGGCTGAAATCGACTAATGAATTCAATATAAATAATATATTAATGAAGAAGAAAAAAGTGGAAAAAAGAAAAGTCAATCTAAGCTGACAGAGTATACACAACATTAACTTAATATTAAGAATGGGTAAGATAATAAGGGAAATAATAAAACATGGAAAACTATTTTATAAAATAGACGAACAGTGGCTAGTATTGTAGATCAGTATGGGTGTTTCATTCTATTTTCGGTTCATCACTTTTAGATGTACCTGGATTCCAGTCTTGATATTCACGTTGGAACTTGAATTCAGTTTCTTTCGTTAAAGACGGCAACGTGTTATCCACGAACCAAGTGCATCTAGACAGCAAATCAAAATGAATTTCGCTTTCAGAGTGGGCACAACCAAGAAGTGTCAGCCACACATATACGTTTAACTGTAATACAATTTATCTCGTCCATGCATAACACAAAATGACTGATTCTGTGTACTTTTACATTAACTTTTACGCATAATCATGATTAACTGAGCAGTTAGTAGACCTTCATAGTCTGTTAAATAGCCACGTAAATGCATCTGTACTTGATAATAGAGTTACAATGATATTTCAATTATCTAAAAATATTCATGTATTAGGCCCCCAAATGACCTGATACGGCTGAAAGTGGGAAGAGTCCGTTCTCCCTCTTCTTTACAAATCCTCTCATATAGCCACACCTAGATACTATCAGCAAACGCTTACTAATTGTTTATCTTCTAGCGACAGGTTTGTTCTTTGTGAAATTGACAGGACGAAAACCGAATATTCGATGTGGACTTAAACCAGATTCATGGATACGAACGATCCATTTAGGGGAATCCGAAAACATTCATTTCAAATCAGTGGTCCATATGTGTTACATGGAACAAATCGAGTATGGACCTATTGTTGGTCACTTGCTACCATAAGAACACTTATCTTAACGTTGCTCCACTGAATTATGGATTAGACCTCTACGTCAAACAACTCAAGGAATAGCCCCCTAAGAAAACCAGTTGCTTTAGTTTGAGCACCTAGCCAGCATCTAAACCTGTATACAAATATAATGATTGTGTGGTGTATACATAGTTTAGTGGCTCTTGGTATCAATGTTTAAGTGTTTAGATAAATAAAATAATGTGGTACATGCTTGATAACCATCTGCTAAATTGGAGACATTGAATACTGTAATCGACATTCATGTAAATATTTTGATTTATAACTAGATATCCTCGAAATAAGATAAACATCTCTGGCTACAGCACTGAATAATAACGTGACTTTATATCATTGATGAACCGTTAAGCATCGAGTTGCCACACCACATTAGCACAGAGATGCAGTTGTCGATTCAAATCCTGTGGTGGTAAAGGCGGTAAGAGTATAAGCAGTAATCGGAAAGATTAGGGTTTGAAGATGTTATTCAAGGAGTATAATACAGTGAAATAAATTTGGAAAGAAAATAAGGGACATGAAGAATTCAGGAGATTATAAGTTTGGAGAACACAAAGAATGGATGCACCTGCGCCACTGCAAACGATTTTGAACCATGTCATTCAGGGTCTCTAATCATCGGTTGCTATCGTCTCGCGGATCCCAATCAAGCAGTCTAGACCTACCAACATGGCTCAGTCCACTTGTCAGTAACTTCATAAATTTGTGCCATGTTATGGTCTGGCCGCCCCTAGCTTTCTTCAAACCTACTCCTATACCATTGAACATCGCACGTCGAGGCAGTCGGTGGTTGGACATACGTATATATATATATATATGATTCTGTTGTAACTGATTGACTGACAGTTTACCAAATTTACTTTTAAACACTAAAACGTTCGTTAAATATTACTTGATTATGAATATTTGGAAAATTTGATCCAGAATATGTTTGATGATTGCATTGAAATGTTTCTGATTGATCAGTTTTACCATCACATTCCATTTGTCTTTGTTCAACTACAGCTGCCTAAAATCAAATTTTCATTTAATATATTTATTATTAAAACAAAACAAAAAAAGATTGTATTTAATTCAATCAGATGCAAATCATTATTGCAAGTTGGAGAAGATAGTGAACTAATACATACATATTTCATAATAATCCAACTGGAGATGATGAATTTTCACAATCTTACTAATCTATTTGCTATATAGAATTAAAACTCTATGCATCTATGCTAAATATAGTCGATAGATGAATTACTTACTTATTGACACCTGCTACCCCTCGTGGAGGAACATAAGCTGCCCACCAGCATTCTCCATCTACTCCTGTCCTAGGCAATTTTTTCCAGTTGGTATACATACTTGTGACGTCTGCCTTTAATTCCCGGTGCAGTGTGTTCTGTGATTTTTTTCTTTTCCGTTTCCATTCAGGATTTCTAATTTCCTCTTCAGATGGAAGCTGGTCTGTTCTCTCCCACAGTAGTCTGTTGTTGATGATTTCCGATCAACGGAAATTGAGTATCTTATGTAGACAATTGTTTGTAAATACTTGTACATTTTTGATAATGGTTGCAGTACTTCCCAAGTTTCAGCTCCGTACAATAGAACTGTCTTGACTTTCTTATTGAAGATTATGACTGATGTGAGCTTACAGCTGTTTTGAGTTCCATATGTTCCGCAACTGTAGGAAAGATATACTTGCTTTAATAATCATTGCCTTCACATCTGTATCGGATCCTCCTTGTTTATCCATTGTGCTGACCCGGTACGCGAAAGTTTCCATCTCTTTCAGAGCTTCTCCCTCACCTGTGACAGGGTTGGTGTTCTTCATGTTATATTTCAGGATCTTGCTTTTTCCTTGTGTATGTCGAGGACTATTGATGCAGAAACTGCCGCTACACTGGCTGTCTTCACCTGAATTTGTTTGTGTGTATGGGGTGGAAGAGCTAGGTCATCTGCAAAGTCTAAATCGTCTAGTTGCATGCACGCTGTCCATTGTATTCCGTGGCTCCCATCAGATTTGAAGGTTGTAGTAATCCAGTCAACCACCAGAAGAAATAGAATGGGGCGAGAGTAGGTAACCTTGTCTGACACCGGTCCTCACTTGGAATGCATCTGTCAGCTATCCTTCATGAACAACTCTGCACAGTAGTCCGTTGTATGAATTCTGTATGACGTTGACGATTTCCTTAGGAACACCATAGTCCTGAACAAGGTTCCGTAATGTTCTCCTATCTACACTGTGAAAAATGAGAGACTCAGTTTGATTGATTATTGGCTTCCTAACACTAATAGTTTCCGGGAAACCTGAGATATATTTGTCAATCAACTACAGGACAAACATTTCAGAGTATTTTCAATGGTTAAGATCATGAGTCAGTTGAAGCTAGACCACTATGGAAAACCTGGAAGTACTGGACGGCCGTTTCGTCCTATTGTGGGACTCCTCAGCAGTGCGCATCCACGACCTCGCCCCCTGCGAGATTCGAACCCAGGACCTACAGGTTTCGCGCCCGAGCACTTAACCACTAAAGCACTGAGCCGGCATCCAACGGTGTTAATGTCTAACTTCAACTAATCCACGAAATTGAGCGACACATTCACCATTGTCTTCAGTGAGTTACTACCTCACAACAGAGTATGCATTAATACATGGAAGGTTAGATGAAATTTCTGTTTAGTGATAAACCAAATAATTCCAAAGAAATCACAAACTGTTTCAGGATGACATTGTAAATATGAAACAAAAGTATGAGAGGAATACTATGAACAAGTAGATTATTCATTTACTCAAAATCTGGATCACTTTAACATGAGTTATATACATTTATTATTGAACCTTTAGCATAAACATATGCACATATTCTCATTTTACATAATTAGCCATTTACAAACTGCATGATTCTAATTGATTCGCAATCAGATGATCATGACACTTAGTATACAATATATATATTACAACTAATATCTAAAATTTCACTATCATGCATTTGTAGTTTGAAAAAGGTATCGAATCCACATTATGTTTAGTTAATTGTGTCTATTAAGAATTAGTCAACAACAATGAACTTTGATGTGAAATGATCAATCATATGATTAAAGGTCAATCTAACAACAGTATTAACAAAATTTACAAAGACAATCAATCCAATATAACATGATTAGATTGAATGGATTTGATAGGGGTGAAATAATTCTGTAAAGATCACTTCGATCAGATGAAACTATTATCCAATAGCGACAATGAAAGATTCGCCATAAATTATTCGGATTAAAGTCAATCAGTTATAAACATTATGAATCTGGTACACAGATGTATCGGTTTGCGTTGTCCTACTGTGGTGTGATACCGACAGATATAAGTAGTATGTATCATCAATCGAAAGTGAAATGTCTGAAGGCAGAAGGTTAAGAGGACCAAAGAAAAGAGAATGAGAACAGAGAATGACTGGTGTGGGAACGAAAGAACAATCAAGGTGTGAGACAATTGATTGACATTTTGGAAATGAACTATTTATTGTATAGTTCTCAGATTTCACTAAGATGTTCCGTAATTTTGTATTCAAATACATTTGATTGCCCCCATTAGTGTTCACGTTCACTACACTACCACATCAGCACAGCTAAAATAGTGAAATAACAGCATCAGTGGTAGTGTGGTGTGCGCTACTTATATGGACAGATATAAATAGTATATGTAGTAAGAACTGACATGTTTATCAGCAGGAGATTGAAATAAAAAGAGGAAGGAGAACAAAGAGAGGATTGAAATGATGAAGATTTGTAGCTCAAGCAGAATAGGTGTAGCACACAAACCAACAAATTCACTTCAATCAATCCTATCCAAACCAAAGAACGAAATGATAAAAGAATAAAAACCGAACATCATCTATAAAATAAATTGTTCCAAATGCGAAAAACATTACATCGGAGAAAGTGGGCGCCCTCTTCACCTTCACCTGCACGAACATCAATTAGCGGTCAAACTCCATGACGTATCCTCGCATATATCAATGCATGTGAACAACTGTGAACACATATTCGACTGAAAAAATGTTAAGATACTGGATAGAGGGAATCCTAAAACACTAAATTTTTTAGAAGCTTGGCACCCAGGTAAAACAGCAATCAATAAACATATTGAAATCGATCCAGTCTATCAACCACTCAAACTCATGAATTTAACTATTAAAATTACTACAATCTCCACAAACCCCCACTCTGATAAAAACAAAGGACCAAGAATTAAATCAATGGGAGATATAGTCAAAACAGAGAAGTAAACAATAGCCAGTCAAGATCGAGGTCTTTAGGACAAGCTGAGTCATATGTGGGGAAATTCGAACACTGCACTTCTGCCTGAAGTTTTTGATGATGATGTTGTTCAGAAGAACAGTGAAAGCTCCACGACCAAACCATTCAGCTCCGAGAACAAAACTACACGAAGAGGATTGAAAGGGGTGGAGTGTGCAAGTGATTAGGCACTGATAACATGATTTAAGAAGAAAAAAGGAATCCACAAAATGAATTGTCTACTTTTAAAATAAACTTTCAAACTCAAGGATAAACAAAGATTGAAACCATCTGGGATACTTAGATTGATTCTGAGGCATATCAAATAGTGCCTACAACCACCGGTCGTGGTTATCGCGCGAACTCTTAAAAGGCAGTCTAGCCCCAAAAACACGGTCCACTTCAATAGTCAATGTTGTCATAGATTGATGCTGAGTCTTGCTTTGGTTAGCCCATAGCTTCCTTCCAACCTACTTCCATGTCGACAAACATTCCGTGTCGAAGTAGGCGATGAATCGGCATAAGTAACGCATGTCCCAACTACTTCTGGATTAAATTATGCAACATTAAATGAAGTCACGAGAATTACGAATTTTTCAAAAATCTTCATTGAGATCAATAACATAGTAGGTTCAATAGTCGACAATTCAAAATGTGATTCATTTTACCAGAGACTAGTGATTCGAATGTTTCAACTATCAAGAAATTGTCAACGTTTAAATTTGAATCTTAACGTCATCTGCATGGATTTCAGCAGTATATTTTCACCTTAAAAAATTAATTGAAATCAGAACTTCATTACATCAGTATGAAATATGCTAATGGGTTTATAAATACAAAACAACTCATTTTCTAATATATTAATGTAGGTCAATTTTATGAACTATACTTCAAAAGTGAATTTAGCAGTAGTTATTGACATAGTATTGTTACTTTGTCAAATTAATCAGTAGTCAATCATGAATGAATGAAAATCAATACATCTGTCGTACACAGAACAATAAATATGATAGATATAGATGTTTTGCACTATAACATAATATATTAGATAATATTTCATTCTATGACCTTGTATTATTGCAATTAAAGAAACATACCTAGGTGAGATTCAAGTGTAATTCAGTAGCTAACTGTAGATTTATGCTTTATAATTTATGTGAGGGATAGGATAAAACTCGAACGCCGAAAACCAAACAAATGTTTTTCTCAGAGGATCCTCATAAGCACAAGCTCTGAACTTAAGGTATATATATATATACCCTGAGCCGGATAATTAAAAAATATATAGCTAAAAAGACTGAATATGCATAGACTTGTATTATAAGGAAATTATCTAAAAACATGTTATATTCTGATAAGAATAATGAATGGTAACTTTTGAGATCCATTTATGGACCAATACTATGCATATAATTGTTAAATAATTAAACTATTCATATTTATGTCCCTCTTATTATGAGGTTCATTTTGACCTATGAACTATTATTGTACGATTTATCATTCTTGAGTTATGCCCAGTCTATCAATTACTACCTCCCATATTCACAGCCACATTTGGCTAAATCTTGTACAAATGTTGTTTCCTATTTTATGGTACGATGTGGTCTGTCTGATTGGTATAAAAACACAGTATGTTTGAAATAAATGATTCATATTGCAGAGGTTGAGATTGGTGTTCTGGACGTAACTCGTTGAGCTAAGCAAGAAGTAGGACCAATAAGGACTCTAGACTGCTCGTACGAGTTTACGTGTCATAGATCCGATTGATAATTCACTGCTCTCTAATTGGCGGTATCGTTACGTTATACATTAACAGGGCACACAAGCTACAAGTCATGACAAAACATTTGATCATTTTTCCTTCTTTTCAGTATATTACTCACTTCAGCTTTTCGACGTTCACAGAAAACTTCATACATATGTATTATTCTCCCAGCATTTTGACAATCTAATACATAAACGGTTGGAGCACCTAACCATCTTTGTAGATCATATAATGATAACGGTATATATTTAGTAAATTTCTACAAAATAAAAACAATTTTGAACAAGATAATGAAAGTTAATTAATAATAAGCATATATCAAAATAAATACTATTGAATATTTTCAGAAAGATTAAATCTATTATTTGATGCAAATTATTTACTCAATACTCAGTGTGATTTATTCAGCTTAAAGATACATTTTGCTGTCCGTAGATAAATCATACTTTATCCGACCTACTAACCTGAATTGGATGAAATCGGATTCAAACTGAAGACTTATTTGTTTAGAATTCGAATGATTTCATTATTAACTCATTAGTTTTTAAGAGTCAAAAGAGATTGTGTTATAGGATACACATACCTGAGATTAGTACAATAAGGTAAAACGAAGTTGATCTTTCAAAAAATCATACATGATTATATGAAAAAAATGTTTAGTAATTATGTGGAATGATTCCCCAGTATAATAATAGTAAGAACAAGAATAATAATAACTACAATTAAATGAATTTAGACACAAAATACAACTTATCGCCATCAAAAACAAGTATCGTAGTTATGTTTAATTGCCAAAATATCTAATTGTTACTAAAAACGTGAATACTAAGTGCTCATTATTATTATTTGATTGGTAAATAAGAGATGATAGACGAGAACAAGAACATCAGTCAGCCAAAACCAATGTAGAGATTGGCATATGAATCCGGTGTTCATCTTGTTGTGCTAATGAGGTATGGCAACCTGGACCGATGCACATATGTGCCTGGTCCTACGTTGTAGCTGACTGACTGACTGACTGTATTTATCTAAGTTCCTATAAGCACATTAGCACGACGAGATTAAATTAACAAGATCAATAACAAATAAAATAATGGCATGTAAAGGTTTGTATGAAGGATTACTGGAACTCAAGATCTAGAAGAACACAAAGAGTGAATATATCAGCGAGGTAGTGGTCGACAGACCTAGAAAAGTTCAGGCCTACAAAACTCACACCTGACTAACCGAGGTATCACAGACTTAAAATTAAGGTTTACACATTTAAAACTACTCACAAAGTCAACAAATATTAGTAGCCCAGAACCACCAGACGTGTGGCTTAAGTTTGAATACATAAACAAGTTTTTTCGTTATTATATTGAAAAATGACAATCCTGGACGACTAACATATAGATAGTAGAGGTTAAAATTAAACTTACCAAGTAATCCATAACAATAGTCTAAAGTACGACACAAAGCATAAAAATGTCCAAGGAACAAATTTAAAGATCCCTTTATACTTACCGTGTTAAAAACCCATATTTCTCCATTCTCGGTGGGTCTAGGGACACCATGTCCATTGTAATGAAATAGAATTCTATCATCTTTTGCGTTGCGTCTTAAACTAAGGCACAATTTTTTCACATCATCTAAAGTTGGATCAAGGCACTGTTTATATCTGGCACGAGGCTGCCATCGTTCGTATTGGGCCTGAAAAATTAAAGTAGAGAACATTCAATTAACTAAAGAGATAGTAAGTACTACTACTAAAACTAATAAAACAGGAAGGCTAACAATGATTTGAACTACATTAAATTTTTTAGGTATCATTACCAAGGTTTGATTTGATAATTTCGAATAAATTGAGCATTGGGTTGATTGTACATTAAATTTTATAATACTTATTCAAAGAAAATGACTTCTGCAATGTTTCTACGTGAATTTTCATTCCATGGACATACAATGTCGTTCTTTAATTCTATTGACATCTCAACTAAGGTGGATAAAAATTACACGAGCGCAATATGAGGACTACAACAAAGCCGTCAGTAATAATAACTAGGAAATGGCCATTGGGTACATGCACAATTACGATCATTCTAACCAGATATCTGCATGCTGCTAATGAGTTCGTTCACAAAGGTGGACAAATATGTCTGATATCCAGACAACTTTGACCTAGGTGGTAAAACCTGTTTGTTAGTGTAAAAGATATCTGGATACGAAGTTACGAAGAGTAAATGAACAAAAATAAAGAATTTAGTAGAATGGTGTTCCATTTTGAAGTTAAACATTTTTGATAGCAGAACAGATGGCGAGACTAAAACAATGAACGCAATTAAACTATAATGATTGATTTGGTGTATTGACATATAGGGTTTATAATCACTAATCTGTAAAATCCCAAAGATCATAACAATTGAATCCAATACTATTTCAAAAAGTTCAGATTATTAGGAAGAATTAAAACCTGGTATAATGATTAAATGTGTCGCGACCATGTGAAACAAGCGATAAAACGAAAAACAGACGTGGTATTACTTATTTATTTGAACAAAAATATTGGTACAAAGTGGCATCAAATACATATGCGCCACACAAGTCACTTGATTTGTGTGCGGGCTGGGATATTGCCCGTATGCTGAGACTGAAGTAGGTGGTTTTCTTAGGGGACCACGTCCGGAAACTTTGACGTAAAGGTTTGATCCACAAGACAGTAGGGCCACGTCAAGATACAATCCCACACACAGGTAAAAGACGAATCGAGATTAAAACATGTGACCAAATAACTGAAAATCAGATACACTAGCTACTAATCAACAACTTAATTTAGTGAGCTAGAAAAACTGATCAATAAAGATAATCTGAACTAGACGAAAAGTGTTCTGCTTCTGAATTATCCACGTAAACGTTTTAAGCCAGATGGCTGATTAGTGAGCGATTAATTATTGCTTTCCAAGCGATCGATCACATGAATTTTTAGGGTACATGTCAACTAAAACGCTTAAAAATTAAAACGTTCTACGATGCGAAAGCGACCAAAACGTGGAAAGTATCATTGCGTGTCAGGAAATCCATAAATATCAATCAAAATAAATAATATTAAAGCAAGACATTCACAACTTATTGGAAAAAAATGGAAAACTTAGTTACCTGAAGATTTTTTCCGATATTGCCTAGAGCGTGTAGACTGTTAGCATCGGTTGGGTCGACCCATGCTTCCACTCTTGAGAAAGGTGGAATTTTTTGTACATCCGGAGGATCAATATCAATATTTAGGCAAATAACCAGAGCAACTGTTAGGGTTTTGATCTATTGAATGCGAACATTTATGGAAAGACTACCTTTTCCTTGTGATATTTTTCCTGGTACAACACTTGCCCCTCAATCGCTTCTGTCAAGTGCCGTGAAGTGAAAGCAACAACTGTGTCTTGTATAAGATCATTTTCTGTATCCGAGTCAAGAAACATCTCAGGGTTTAACATTCTTCACACTGAGTCTATGTGACACGACGGTTTATAAGTCCTGCGAAACTTCTTACTTATATCCTTAACGTATCCAAAAAGGTTCAAGACGTTCTTTTTGACTAGCTTTCGAATAACTGACTACGCACGGCGAACCCGTTGGTAATCACAATAGTTCATGTCGACCTTGAAACCGCAAAATTTGACTGCGAGCCTGTGAAGGCTGAAATGTACTTTGTACAATTTATTATCCAATCTACACAAGTTTCGGAAGGGAAGTGCCGATTCCTGTTGTCATATGTGATGTCAAATCTGTCAATTACTGCACACAAATGCGCGATTTTCAAAAGAGCAGTGATTTTTGTACTTGTCATTATCCTTGCTATGTGTATTTGTTGCACCAAAAAGCATTCCTGGTCTACTTTAGCTAAAAGTACCTTGATTAAGGTTTGAAATTTTTGCTAAACTTTGTCCTGTGGTACCTTTTTTACTCATTGACTGACACTCATGTTCACATTGTGATCATATTGCGTTTTAAACCTTTTTAATCAAAATGCAATGGTTAGTAAGACTTATAAATGTGTACAACCAAACTGCTTGTTCCTTGTTGAGGAAGAAATGCAAAGCGATGGATGTAAAAAGTGGTACCATAAGATGTGTACACGTCCTACGGCATACAAAAGATGCTCGAAGCCTAACTCGCATTGGCTTTGTATGTTTTGTTATACAAATAAGAAGTTACTAAATCAGGAGGCTGCGAGCCTATTGGATTTGGCCTGTAAGAAAAACGCCGGCGGTTGCGCTGATAACATGAGCACTGACGGTGTCAGTGTAGTACGTGCTGTTACCGGACCCGCTAAACACACGACTGTTATTGACGAGAAAGTGAAATCTCCGTTAACATTAACGAGGAAAGAAGTGCGTCTTGATATTGACATCGCTAATCATACACCTCTAGTGGAAATTGAAGACCCAGATAAGACTGTCACCGTTCCAAGTAGTGCCGTTGTGGCTATCCTGAGTGATGAAAAATGGACTTCAGTACGGAGAAAAAGAAATGAGACGAAAAAAGCCGTAACCAAGACACAGCTGGTTAGCAAGTCATTGGAAGAGACGGTAACAGAAATAAAAACTCTACTGCGTGTCAGACAGATCTTTCTGAGAGGTCAGTCATTTTTCATAAGTTAGGAGAATTTTCCGATAAGGAGCCAAAGGCTAGATTCGAACACGATATCAGTCATATTAGTCTTTAATAAGCAAACTACTCCCAGATACAGTTTCAGTTAATATTTGTAAACTTTATAGAATAGGAAAAAGGTGGAGTTTGAAAGTCCTCGAAAAAACCGCCTCTTCAAGATTACATTTGCCACTGTCGAAGAAAGAAACCTGATTCTAGGTAACTCACGTAAACTGATTGGATCCGGAATATACGCCCGTGAGGATCTCAGCCTAGCTGATCGAATTAGGAAACGAGCTGCAGAAGTGGGAATAAATGAGCGTCGCCTAAACGGCGAAAAAAACCTCGTACTTCAGGTTTTCAAAGAGCAAAACGATCCCCAAACCACTCTGCGTGGTAAGGGAAAGTTCTCTACAGACTGAAAGGTATGCTACACAAATGCTCGCAGCCTACTAAATAAAATGGCGAAGCTCATGTCAGTGGTAGATAAAGAAAAACCAGATGTTATTGCTGTCTCGGAAACGTGGTTAACGTCAGAAGTATTAGATAATGAAATTCAGTTGACTGGTATTTTAACCAGTGGGGCTGATAGATTAAACCGTAGGGGAGGTGGGGTTATCCTGTACACGAAAAGTACCTTAACCATAAGAGTAGCTGAGACAGTAGCACATGTTTCAGGGGCATATGAACTGGTGTGATGTAAGCTGAAATGTAGACGGCAATATATTGAATTTGTTTTAGTATATCGCAGTCTAGAATGTGTAGCAGATGATGTTCTGCTAAGTAAACTTAAGTCCTGGTGTAACAAGGGTAAAAGCCTTGTAGTAGGCGACTTTAGTACACCATATATAAACTGGTTTAATTTACAAGTAGGGTCATCGATAATGTCGTTCGACTACACACTGTTAGAAACCTCGATTGGATTAACTTTAATCCAACACATTAGAAACCCCAAGAGACATGACTTAAGGAACTCTTCTTCTCTTTTAGATTTAGTCTTTGCACATAGTGATGACGTCGGTCAAATGTCTTTTCTCCCACCACAAGGGAGAAGTGACCATGCAGTCATCTTATTCAAATTCATGACTGAGATTGCCTGTCAAACAGTCGCGCCGGCCCGTCCTAATATATGGAGGCAGATATGGAGGCAATCAACTCCGCAGCGTCGACTGAAAACTGAGAGATAGACTCGAGGGCATCAGTACAAGAGGCACGACTCTTTTCAGGCAGTTACACAATCACACAACTCAACCGTACATACCCTGAACAGTTCCAAAGAAGAAGAAGCACGGTAATCCTGGATAGGCTGGGATATTAGACGTTTACTAAAACAAAGGAAGAAATGTTGGGATGTTGCTATCCGCCTTGGCACATCAGGTAAGATGGAACGCTACAGATCGGTAAGAAATAAGTGTATAACAAAAATTCGGTAAGCTCAAATAAAATATGAAATGCAGTTGGCACAATCTGCAATCAAGCAACCCAAGAGAATATTCTCGTACACAAACTACAGAACAAGGATGCATCATTGGATTCCCAACTGATTAAAGAAGGAAGTGAATCTGAAATAATAGAGGAAGATCAGGAAAAAGCAGAGGCTATGGCTGACTATTTTGGGACAGTTTTCACTCAGGAACCTCCTCTAGACAGAGAACCAAACAAAAATAAACAGTCAACAAACCACCTGCTCACCGTAGACTTCGATCAAGACGATGTGCTTAAGGCTCTTAGCACCTTAAACATGGAAACATCAATAGGACCAGATGAACTACACCCCAAAATCTCGAGATATATTGCATAATATATCACGGCCCCACTGACTATGATATTCAATATGTCACTTGACCAAGGTGTGTTACCTATGGACTGGAGGGACGCAATCGCCACTCCCATACATGAAACAGAACCGAGACAAGTTCCAGCGAACTACAGACCTATGAGCCCAACCAGTGTTGTAGTGAAAATATTGGATAGAATAGTCAAACGGACAATAACGGCATTTATGGAAACCGATAACTTGCTAAACATAGAACAACATGGTTTTAGAAAGAGTCTATCTTGTACAACGAGCCTCCTTATAGTAAGGGAGTTTTGGATAAAGACGCTAGACAACGGAAACTCAGTGGATGTTGTATACATAGAATTCAGTAAGGCTTTTGACAAGGTGCCAACTAATAGACTGCTATTGAAGTTTAAAAACCTTGGTATCGCCGGCCCTCTTTTAAAATGGACTAAGGATTTCCTAGTAGGTCGTAGACAGAAAATAAGAACAAATTCCAAGTGCTCCATCTGGAGACCAGTACTTAGTGGAGTACCTCAAGGTTCCGTTCTAGGTCCTTTACTGTTTACAATGTATGTTAACGATCTTCCAAGTATAGTACAGTCTCCAATGTTATTATACGCTGACGATGTAAAAATCTGGCGAGCAATAACTGGGGACACAGACGCATGTGCTCTTCAGGCAGACTTAATATGGTTAACTGGTCTAAAGGGTAGCTAATGCCTCTTAACGCGTAAAAGTGTATCTACATGCACTTTGGGATTCAATGGTTAATAGGTACAATATAGGGGAAGTGCCATCGCCCGTAGTCCGGTCTCATAAGGATCTAGGGGTGAGAGTGAGTCAGGATTTTAAGACGACGGCTCATTACCGGGAGGTCGCAGTCCAGGGGTTTCGAACCAACTGGGCTTTAAAGCGGACATTCACCAAGCTAGATACTACCACGTTCGCCACAGTATACACATCATTAGTGAGAACTAAGCTTGAGAACTGCGTTCAGGTTGCAAGCTCCTGTTTAAAATGTGACTCGGATATCGTAGAAAAAGTACGGAGGGCAGCTACCCGTGCAATTCAAGAACTTCGGGTTTTACCATAAAAAAGGCGCTTGAAAATCTGGACCTCTTTACTCTGTCCTATCGCAGACTAAGAAGAGATTTAAGGTTGATGTACAGAATACTAAGAAATGATTTCGGACCTACCTTATTCTCTCTTTTTCTCCCCACTAGATCGGGACACCTCAGAAGACATAGCAGGCGAGTATAAAAGCCAAGAACGAACAAAATACCCGTGGCATACAGGTTTTCATACCGTTTCATCGATACTTGGAACCTCCTGCCCGAAGCAGTGGTGTCCGCACCTTCAATTGACTCTTTCAGGAGAGGACGGGACACTCCCAGATGCATACTAGAAAAGGAATAACATAGGCCATAAGCCTTCTGTCCTAACCACACAAATCTGAATCTGAAGTTGAACCAGTACGCCATTATACCTCTTCTCAGAGGTCCGAAGGTTAAGAGTTCGAGTTAGAAGTTGAAGACCTAGATTTGGTTCCCGGATTCAAAGTTTTGTACGCGCTTGGCCGATGAGTCTCATACTAGTACGGGCCAGCTGTCTAGTGCTCTAAAATTTTTACTGAATGTTTAACTTTGAATGATTCGTGATATAAATGGAATTTAACAATCTCCACATCCCATATTGAAGTGAGAAGCAATTGGCTCTTTAGAGTTGTCGCTTCCAAGGCGCTTCACACTCGCCATTTCTTCCATTTTTGATGCATAAACAAGGGCTTTATTGTGTGAAATGGAGTTTCGTCTAAACGTCATGTCGTTGTATACGTAAGCTTACAACACTCTCAGTAAATAGTAGGTCTCTGTCGTGTGAGCTCTATATTTTCTTTGGGTGTTTATTCACTGAGGCAGAACGAGCTTCTGACTAGAAAGTAATTATGTTCGTTCCTGTATACAGAGTAACAGTATCATGTGCTAACACGAAATTTGTGAACTTTCGTGTAGATATTAATACTCACAATAATATGTGACCACAAACTCACTTTTATCTTCTTAATAATTCTACACTAATAAAAACTGCAACACTCCAAACTTATACATCATTACTTATGTGATTTTCTGTATATGACTGCTTAGTCGTTTGTGTCCCATTCATTGTCGTCCTTATTCATAAGTTGATTGACTAAACGGTTCAACACAAAAAAATCATCATTTGGTTTCATATTTGTCTTGCTGTTATAATGTTTTCGTAA